CTCTAATGGCCACAACAGCCAGAGCTGGGCTGATCTGAAGCCTGGAGGCGGGAGCCTCTTCCGAGTCTCCCATGTGGGCTTGGGCCATCCTCTGCTGCCTTCCCAGGTCATAGCAGAGCTGGGCTGGAAGTGGAGCAGCCAGGACTCGAAACGGTGTCCACATGGAGTGTTGGCACTGTAGGCAGTGGCTTTACCCGCTACACCACAGTGCTGGCCCCTGCTCTGTTCTTTAGGTGGCCTCGTTTGCCCATTTGTTGAGCGGAAGTTGCCACAAGAGAATGATCCATGGTGGCGATTCACTGCCTTCACCAGCTCTGCTTTGCTTCCACTGCCGTCTGCGGAGCTGGGTAGAAGATTCCTGTCCAGAGAACACAGCAGCAGTGACCCGCCCAGGGCTGGAAGGAGGCGCCCGTCCGACCCAGGTCTTCAGGGCTTTGTCAAGGGTGGATGGGAGTGAGTGCCACGCCATCAGAAATGGCCATTTCAGATGTGGTGAGAAACCGTGTCCCAGCAAACCTGGTGGTTTTTGTCCTCAGACATGGTTCCAGAGTGGCCAGATTTTGCATTGCCAGGACCAGCGTACCCCCTGACTTCAGTGCTGCTCACTCACGTTCCACCTGCTCCTGAGGGCAGGACTGTTCTTCTAGAAGCCTTTTTGCTTCTGCCCTGCCACGTTGTCTGGTTCTAGCATAGCTGTTTGAGAGGGCACAGGGCATCTGCTCAGCTCCAGTCTTCCATGGCAGACTTAGTGCTGTGTGTCCGCTCTGTTAAGGAAATCCCCACTGAAACAGGGAGCGGTGGCCTAAGAGTATCTTATTCCTTTTTTATAGACAGGTATCCAGAAGCGTCCCTCCTGTAGGCAGGCACCAGCCTGGCTGCTCTCAAATCATCGTAGCCTTAGAAAGCAATTTGCGAATCTCGGCTGGTGCCAAGTTGCTTGTTTTGATACCAGGGAGACGTGCAGTTTTTCTGTTGACAGGGAAGGCTGAGACCATGGTTCCCGTACACTCCAGCTGAACAGACCTCAGGCATCAATGTCACCATGTCTTGGATATTGGATTAGTTCCTAAAAATACAGAACCGGGGGCAGGCGTCTGGCACAGCAGTGGAGCTGCCACTGGGGATGCTGACATCCTATATCAGAGTGCCTTGGTTCAATCTTGGCTCCACTTTACACTCCAGCTTGCTGCTAGTGTGCTCCCTGGGAGGCAGCAGAGGGATGGCTCAAGTACCTGGGTCCCTGTCACCCATGTGGGAGACCCAGATTGAGTTCCAGGCTCCTGGCTTCGGCCTGGCCCAGCCCAGCCCTGGCTGTTGCAGATATCTGGGGAGTGAACCGGCAGATAGGAGATCTCTGCCTTTCAGGTAAATGAAATACACTGTCTAAAAATCAGAAAGGTACAGAGGTGAGTTATAGCCTCCCTGCCCAGAGGAATCTGCTGTGCTCATCAGAGTGACCAGTCCCAAAGCAGATAATTTCACGAACAGGAGCTTGTAGAGGGGCCACTGGCCGGTCTTTTCAGTTTGTTCTGAGTAAAGGAAGTTTGCCGGAGGCTGTGAATAAGCCTGGACTGAGAAGCCTGGAGGAGGACACGTGGATGCCGTGCGACGCCCCGGCACACGCTGGCTTGTTCACTCGGATCCGAATGCTTGGCCCTTGCAGCTTCGGTTAAAGGCAAGATCCTGCTCCCCACCCTCAGAAACTCGGCCTCAGTTCCCTCCCCCAGTCTGCACTCCCAGCACCCAGCCTGTGAGCCTCTGGTTCAGGTAATGACTGTCTGACTGTCTGGAGGCATTTGAGACCTGTGGGAATCCCTGGCAGCACTCAGAGCCTGCAGACTGGTGGAGGGAACTGAGCAAAGAACTGAATTCCGAAGATAGGGGCTTTCTTTGTCTCTTTGATCTGGCCTCAACCAGCAGGGCAGGTTTCTGCAAGTTCACTGTTAAGCTGCTTTCCCCCAAGCAGGCCGCAAAGCAGTCTGGGAGAGCGGGAAGCAGATTAAATTAATCTCAGCGTGCTGAGCGTGGCAGGGGGTGGGATTGTGTTTGGTTGCTCCAGAAATAGCCCAAACTCCTTTGTTACTAAAGCAGATGATGAGTGCAAAGCAGAAAAGCTGCGAACGCGCTAGTCACCAGACAGACACCCTCCTCGCCCTTCCCGCATGCTGTCTCCTGAGGTTACGGAAAGCGACTGTTTCCAGTGTCGTGGCGAAAGGTTTATTTGTGTTCTCTCTATCTGATCCTTTTTGAAAAACTCTGCCTCTGAAGGCTTTGCTCCCCAGTGTCAGGCATTGGCTCTGGAGCCTCTGGCCGGTGAATCTGTGCGTCCTCTCGAGTGTTTGGCACAAGGAAGGAATCCGTCCTCAAGAGTGACCCCCGTCTGGCAGTGTGCGTTAATAGGCACCGATCTGAGAGGGGGAAGGAAGAGGCGGGGAGCCAGCACAGAGCCCATAAAAGGCCACGAGGTATCTGCAGCTGGTGGGTGATGAGTGCTGGTGGCAGGTGGCAGGTGGGGGTGGGCCCAGAGTTTCATGGAGGAATTAGGACCTGAGGACAGAGCTCACTTCCCTCTGCCTATGTTTTCAGGGGTGTTTGAATAAAAGTCTTCCAACCAGATCTCTTAAAACAACAACAACAACAACAACTATATTTGGTATTTTTTTTATTATTGTCTGGGTACCTGATGTTAAAAGATGCAGGTGAAGAAGACCTAGGATAACGATGAACTTGCAACTTTGTATATAACACATAGTTGAAAGAGCAAGAGGGGGTTTGGCTGAAGGAGAGAGCTGGTATGAGGTCATGAGTGGCTTTCCTGCTGTTCCTCATCTCACTTGGTGCCCGCAGTGTTGCTGTGAGGTAGGTACTAGCATCCTTATTTTATAGCCCGTGACGCTGTGGCTCAGTGAGAGACGATGACTTGCCCATAATTCACTCAGTGACGGAGACCAGTGTCTAAGCCAGGTCTAAGCCTGTGTTTTTGCCCATTATACAAATCCAGTTGGCCTTGTTCTCTATGATCTTAAGGAACAGAACCAAGATAATTGGGTAGAAATTAACAGGAAGACAGATTTTTGGCTCAAAGGAAGAACTTTCTAATTGGGTTGCCCAAGGTGGGAGCAAACTACTAAAGACGCAGTGGGTTCCTTTGTCACTCGGAGGTATTCAAACAGATGCCAGAAAATCGCTGGATGGGTTCAGTGCACCCGGCTTTCCAGTCCCGTGGTCCCGCTGTCTGTAGTTCATTAAATTATCAGGGCACGTTTCCACTCGGTCCTAATGAGAAGGATATAGCCACCATCTAAAAATAAAATTTTAGCTTTCATACTATACTAAGATTTGTATTTTAATGACAGTTATTCATGTACATAAACTATATTTGTCTTTGCATATTTAAAATATTTTAGGTAACAGAGGAAAATATAATTATGCAAATGCATACTTAAAAATTTTAAATATTAAAATAGAGAAATCTGATTTAATTGTGTGATTAACTCAGTCCTCCTAGCTATTTATAGATTATAAAGGAAAGATTTCCCTTTTTCAGTTTTGAAACACCTTTGCAGTTTAGAAAGACTGATTCCAAAAAAAGGAGAACTTTTTCCATCTCTGCAGAAAAGATGAAACTGTTAAATAATTGTTTTTTCAAGGGAATATAGACATCTCAGCTTTCCTAACTTGCTGGTGTGACAAGCAAACACAAAACACCTCATCAGTGCCATCTCTTGGTTGGTGGCTGCTTAGCTCAGAGGCATTATTGTGCTGATGGCCTGCTGGAGCAGCCCTTTATCTCATTAGACAGAGTTTATTCCAATTTACTGAGCCCCAGCACTTCTGGTGAGAAAATGAGCCTAAGGGACTGAGACCTGTTGCGACCCAGTCATGAACCTTCCCTGTTTTGATTTCTCCCTACTATACAACCAGGCACTGTGGATTCTTGTTCCCTGGTGGTAGTTCCAATCTTTAATATGAAATAAGAGCATCTTCATAGAAAGCTTTGTGCAAAAATTACTTCAGTTGTCAATGTACTGAAATCAAAGTGCATATTCCACACACACACACACACACACACACACACGCTGGGTTAGGCTTAGTAACAAGGCTTGTTGCAGCACAAACATGGCTACTGCTTTGTTTGCTCCCTCCTCCTTCCTGCCTTCCTGAATTGGCACCCTGGCCACAGGCAGGCAGCTCTCGCCATGTTGGGGAGCTGTGCGAGGCCGGGGCTGTGTCCAGGCGGCTCACCATACCTCCTGGAGCGTGCTGTCCGGTCTTGCAGGGGAAAGCTAGCATACTCCTAGGGGAGAGCTCAGGAAAGGGCCACAGAGAAGTGAGGGGGAGAGGGTCTGTGATGTGTGTGGGGCTGAGAACAGCGGGCAGCAGGAGCAGCATGGAAACTCGCAGTCCTGCCTGGCAGCTCCCCGTGGAGAACTGGGATATGCCCAGGTGCAGGTCTGGATGAGTGACCCCAGGTAATCAGCCCCTGGACAGTCAGATCTACACACCAAGTTCCCTTGAATCGACGTCTGGGATTCAGTGCTTTGATAATGCCCAGGGCTCTGAAGTCTGATCCTCCTCCCAGGAGCCTCCCAGGATGCCCTAGGCCCTAAGCAGAGGTCAGCCCCTTGTCCTGGTTGTATGGACATCGCCTTGAGTGCTTGCTTCTCCCTGTAGCTGACCATTACCTTATTTGTCCAAGTTGATGCTGCCCAGGGTTTGAACTCCTCAGAGACACGGCTCTGGCTGCCTGTGCCACGGCCCTCAGCACAGACTGCTGGCTGCCTGGCTGCACCGTGGCAGGAAGGGCGACACTCGCACTTCGTGGTGCAGCCGTGGAACGGTGCCGCCTGCAGATGGGTCGTTGGGGGAGGGGCCCGCCTGGTTGGCATTGCCGTGTGGCGGCACACAAAAAGCCAGGCCCGCCTGCAGTGTGGGCGCTCCTGCCAGGGCCTGGCCCCTGGTCCTGACGGCGCATGCTTTGTTCTGCTCTCCTCCTGCAGAGACAGGGCAGGGCATTGTTCATGCACTGACCGACCTCAGCAGCCCCGGCATGACCTCAGGGAACGGAAACTCTGCCTCCAGCATCGCCGGCACTGCCCCCCAGAATGGTGAGAATAAACCACCACAGGCCATTGTGAAACCCCAAATCCTGACGCATGTTATCGAAGGGTTTGTGATCCAGGAGGGGGCGGAGCCTTTCCCGGTACGGACTACTTCTTTTCCCCTCTTTTTTTTTTTTAAAGTATATTTTGGATGTGTATTAGAATATTTTTACATTTCCATGTAACATTTCTGAAAATGTAGACAATTTGCTCTTTCTTTGCTAATTCCCTCCCCCCCAAAAGAATGTCAGAGCCGTTTCTTTCTAGAATTGTGTATGTTTGCAAGGTCGTGAAGGGGTCAGGGATCAGTAATAACTGGCAGGGTCCCCAGGTGAGGGGTTTCACACTCAGCTGTGTCCCTGGCTAGTGACCTGTGACTCCTCGGTTAGAAGGAGTTCACTTTGGGTATCTGATGAGAGATGAGAGACTCTGAAATTAGGCCACACTGAGTTGTGAGTGCCAGAGCTTTGGCCAGTTAGGGAGCAGAAAGCCCCTGCACAGAACAGACTTCTTAGGGAAACCAGGAATGGGGTGGGGCTCGGGGTCCCCGCCTGGAGTTCATTTCCTGCAGGCACAGCCTTGCAAGGGGAGTCAGTGTGCTCAGGGAGCGCTCTGGCCAGGGCGTAGTCCACTGTCTGCAGTAGAAACCTAAGCCTGCAGGGAAGCAAGGAGAACCCGGGGTGGCTGGGGACAGCGGGAGCTGGAGGCCAGGCGGTCCCGCCCTGCAGGTGTTGCGAGCCCAGAGGCAGGTGTACAGGAGCTCTCTTCTGACAATTACTTGGCTGCCAGAGTCGCTGCCTTCCTGCGATGCCATCTGCCCTGTGCCCATTCTTGGATCCGTGAGAGGCTTGATGAGTCAGCAGAAGGCTATGAGCATGCGGCTGAACCGCCCCTCTAAATGCCAACGACAAGTCGCCTCTTGTCTGCTTTCCCCCCGGAAGCTGTGCGCCATAGCTGTGCATAGCTCCAGCTCCTGCTTCGGCCCTGCTCTCCTGCAGTAAGGCTGAGGCACCAGCATATTGAAGAGCACCCCAGAGAGGCTGCCTGGACAGAGATCACAAAGGGAGCGCAAAAATGAGGATGCGTGGGGCCGCATTTCCCCAGGGGGCTCAGAGTCAGCTCTCCTAGCTGCCTGTGCCCCTGGCCTGGGCAGGGCAGCGGTGATGTGGGCAAGAGTAGGAAGCCAGCAGAGGGTGTTCATTTCCCTTGTGCACCCCAGCCCCAGCTTTGGGCCCACCTGGCCGGTGTGTGAGCACAAGGCCTGGCGCTTGCTCTGTGCTGTGGCACACCTGATCTGTGCCCTCAGACACCTGGAGGAATAGGTAACTTCCTAGCCTGCCGAGCCCTCGTGGCCCGGGGCGGAAGCCTTGCCTGTACTTGGGTGCCTCGTGAGCTAGACAGCAGAGCAGGGTACGCTGGGATGGTGATGTGGGGGCGGCAGGAGGGGGGCTGGCATCTGCCTGGGTACTTGGTTCATGTGATTGTGATGCGGCTGCGCGGTGAGGGAGCCTCTCCCCCTGACCCTCACGGCCCCTGTGTCGCCTGTCCTCTAGGTGGGACGCTCGTCCCTGCTGGTGGGGAATCTCAAGAAGAAGTATGCCCAGGGGTTCTTGCCTGAGAAGCTTCCCCAGCAGGATCACACCACCACCACGGACTCGGAGATGGAGGAGCCCTATCTGCAAGGTACGCGTCTGACCCGGAGCTGGTGCCGTGCGAACCTTTCCCTCTGTCCCTAGGCAGCAGGGACAGGAGACGTCCAGGGAACACTTTGTCCCCTGCTCCCCAGCCCTGCTGCAGCCACAGGAGTTCAGGAGCCGCACTCCCTAGGGAAGTCACCGGCGAGTTGTGGGAGTGACTGGAGGCAGCACCAGGCACGAGTGCTCTCCTCCTCTTGCCCCAGGAGCCTGCACCAGGAACTGGGGCACCATGGTGGCCAGGCAAGGGCCTGGGCTGTGCAGGGCCCAGCAGCGTAGGCCCTGGGGTCTGCAACCCTGGCCAGCAGCCAGTGAGGTGGGTCACAGTCGTGGGCACAGTTCTAGAAGGTGCGCTGGGACAGCCCACAGAGCAGTCCCTGTGAGCCCCTGCTTCCTCCCAAGGTCAGAAAGGGAAGTCCTTGCACTCACTGTGCGAGGGGCATCACTGCATATGCTTGGGCACTTTGAGAGACAGACAGCCCTTCCGAAACAGGGAGGAAAACACTTTGGCCTCGCCCAGGCTGGACCACTCCTGCCTATCATGTGGAAGGGAACACAGTGAGAGGCAGGATAGAGCAGGGGGCCCTGCGGAGCTGTCACAGACCTCATTCTCCACGCTCACCCGTCTCCATCCTTTTCAGAATCCAAAGAGGAGGGTACTCCCCTCAAGCTCAAGTGTGAGCTCTGTGGCCGGGTGGACTTTGCCTACAAATTCAAGCGTTCCAAGCGCTTCTGCTCCATGGCTTGTGCAAAGAGGTGAGTGACCTCGGCCTCGCTGCCACCCCTCCCTTCCCTTCCCTACTGGGTCTGTGTCCTGCCTTTACAGCCTACCTCCTTCCAGCAGTCACTTCCTGCAGGAGGCCAGAGACAGGACCCAGCCAGCCCCCTGTTTCCTTTTGCAGCCTGGAGCGGCAGCAAGCCAGAGAAACCTGAACCCCTGAGTGCGAGTCAGAGAGAGGCAGAGGGTCCAGGGAAGGACATGTGCTGGCCTCCACGGTCCCTGTGGCACCCATTCTCTGTCCTGCCCTTGGCAGTGTCACCCCTTGGGGTGGGCCTTCCTCTGGAAGCTTAGCCCAAAACCCTGCAGCCCAGTGTTCCGTTGTAAGCTTTCCCACCACTTAGCAGACTGGTGATCAGAGTAAAACCTCTGTCATGTACTGGGGCGTGCCAGGTGCTCTGCACTGCCTCAAAGGCGATCTGCCAGGCAGCTGTCACTGCTGTCCCCTCTGCCCAGGCCAGGACACTAGGGTACAAGGAGACCAGCTAGTCAGTCACAGACTGGGGGTTGGGGCCATCCAACTCTGAAGCCCCGCATGGTTTTTGTGCAATGGCAGAGACCCCGGGCGCCCAGGCGAGAAGGGTGGCCCAGGACTAGGCAGAAGCACTCACCGTGTGCGCTAGAGCTCAGCTGCGCACATGCCTTGTACCCCTCTGGCTGTGCTGGAGGTGGCCAGGGCGCTTCTGTCGGGCTTTGCCAAGCCGCCGTCCGGCAGGACAAGGGACAGCAGTGTTGTGGCACGGGCCTTGTTTGCAGTAGAATGTGTCAGCCCCGAGTGCTCACTGTGATCCAGGCCGGGTCAGGCATTTTCCAGGTGTTCCCTTGTGTTGTGAGACCAGTGGGAGAAAGGGACTGGTTTTCACCCCCAGGTCCTGAGTAGCATGCTGTGCTTCTGCCTGTGACCTGCCCAGAGGCACGCAGCCCATAGTACCTGTGGAGCCAGGTCAGACGGTGCTAGACAGGGTGACTGCTCTCATCCTGCCTGGGACAGCACCTCCTGGGACTGTGCTCACTGCCTCGTCTCCCACAGGTACAACGTGGGGTGCACCAAACGCGTGGGGCTTTTCCACTCCGACCGAAGCAAGCTGCAGAAGGCTGGGACCACGGCCCACAGCCGCCGTCGAGCCAGCAAGGCCAGTCTGCCCACACTCACCAAGGACACCAAGAAGCAGGTGCGCACCCTGTTCCAGCAGTCCCCACCACCTTCCCCTCTGGCCGACTCCTATACACTCTGCTGGGGTCGCTTCTCACGGCCTAGCAGCCAGGCCTCCCCTGGGCCCCTTAATGGGTCCCTGCATTTACACCCAGTTCTGAGGAGGTGCCTCACTCTGCAGTGGCCTTGCCCTGGCGTCACCTTGACTCGTTGAGCCATGGAAGTGGGGTCTCCCCTGTCTGGCCATGTGTAAGACACCCCAAGGTTCTGGGCTCTCTTAGCTGCAAGGCTAGGGGTAGAAGGCAGCTGCCATCCTTCACCTTGTCAGCTTTCTGCCTCCTTGAACATCAGGGCATTGAGTTCTTGAAAGTCTCTGTTGGATCAAGCATGCTCACTCACGAAGCTCGATGTGGCACCAGCCATTTGCCAGGAACTCTTGTATGCCGAGGACAGCAATGCCCTGCAGGAACTCATGGCCTTGGTGAGGCTTCACAGCCGTGTATGCACCAGGCTTCTTGTTGGGATTGATGTTTCCTCCTAAATGTTTTTAAAAATCTGATGAAAACTCTGGCTCAGAACATGTATGCACACACAGTTTTACTTACATGCTGTTCCAAGGGGTTCACAGACCCCTCCTGAAACACATGGAGCCCTGACTCAAAGCCCCCACATGTGGGGTGGCACCGCAGGTTAAGCTGCCTGTGTCTCACATCAGGGTTCCTGGCATCCAGTCCCACCACTGCTTCCAGTCCAGCTTCCTGCTAGTGCTCCTGGGAGGCAGCAGATGATGGCTCCAGTCCTTGGGTTCCTGCCATCCACAAGGGAGATCTGTATGGAGTTGCAGGCTTCTGGCTTTGGCCTAGGCCGGCCCAGGCTGTTGTGGACATTTGGGAAGTAAACCTGTGAATGGAAGATAATCTCCTCCCCTTCAACTCTGCCTTTCAAACACATGAAAATGCATTTTAAAGCTTAAAAAAAAAAAAAAAAAAAAAAACCCTCACTCTAGGACACATGCTTGGTTAAAAGGTAGGTGTTGTGGCACTGCAGGTTAGGTCACAGCTTGGGGCGCCTGCAGCCCGTATCAGAGTGCTGCCAGTGTCCTTGGGAAGGCAGATGATGGCCCAAGCACTTGGGTCTCTGTGGCTCACACAGGAGACCGGATGGATTTCCAGGCATTTGGGGAGTGAACCAATGAATAGAAGATTGCTGTGTCTCTCTCCCTCTCTCCGTGTTACTGTGTATTTCTAATTTATAAGTGAATCTGAAAGGGAAAGCAAAAGACACTGGTTAAGATACTTGTTTCCCCTACCAGAGGTCCTGGGTTCAATACTTGCCTCTGGCTCCTGACTCCAGCTTCCTGCCAGTGCATGGTGATGGCTCAGATAATTGGAGTTCCTGCCACCCATCTGAGAGACCTAGATTGCACTCGTTTCCCACCTGGCCTAGCCCCAGCCATTGCAGGCATTTAGGGAGTCAGTGGGAGCAAACTGTCTCTCTCTCTCAAATAATTAAAAATTTAAAAAAAAAACTTAAAAATACATCTACAAGAATAGTAACTGCAGCACAGTGTGGTAGATCCTGCAGGGCTGGGAGGGAGTACCTCTGCTTAGGGTCTGAGAGGACGGCACAGAGACGCGATTGTCTAGGAACTCACAGGTAGCAGTCAGCTGGGCCAGAAGGGGGCAGCCACCTGCCTTAGCCCCTCATGCTGCTAGAGACGCTGTGCCCTTCTTGAAGCCACTGTTTCTGCTCCCAGCCAACAGGCACCGTACCCCTCTCCGTCACTGCCGCTTTGCAGCTAACACACAGCCAGGAGGACTCCAGCCGTTGCTCAGATAACTCAAGCTATGAGGAACCCTTGTCGCCCATCTCAGCCAGCTCCTCCACCTCCCGCCGGCGACAAGGCCAGCGGGACCTGGAGCTCCCTGACATGCACATGCGGGACCTGGTGGGCATGGGACACCACTTCCTTCCCAGCGAGCCCACCAAATGGAACGTAGAAGATGTCTACGAATTCATCCGCTCTCTGCCAGGTAAGGCCCTGGGCGTTCCCTGATGGCCTGCCACCACAAAGGAGGAGAAGGGGTGAGGGACCTGAGCCCCACACCAGGAAGGATTCGGGTTGTGAGCTGGGGTGCAGAGAAGAGTAAGCTGAGATTCCGACCTGGGAGACCCTCAGGCGTCTCAGCACAGACGCAGACGGTGGAGAGCGTTCCTTAGCTGTTGGCATGCTGCCCAACGGGAGAAAGCGGAGCTGAGGTCGCCACTAACCCGTCTCCCTCCTGGCGCAGGCTGGGGGCCGAGTTTGGCGGGAACATGGGAAATCTGCCCTGGAGAACATCAAAATGAAGAAAGTTAGAAGTGAATGACACTCGGGCCTGTGCCAGCTGGGGAGACTGCCGCTTGCGCAGAGGCGGGAGACCCAGAAGGTCGGGGTGCAGCTGGGCACCGCGCTAAGCCCTGTGCAGCAAACGCAGTGGCTTGGAGGGCTGGAGTCTTGAGCTGAAGCGGGAAAGGCACACCTCATGTCATTCCCGATACTTCCAGGGGGACCCAAAGCCTGCACATGGTTGGCCTGCTGGTCTCACCCACCCGGTGAGCAGGCCAGGTGTGGGTGGCGCCCGCCAGCCTGAGTTCCTCCCACTCTGGAGAGTGGTGTTGTGGTTGACAGCACGGACTTGGGAGTTGAACGGAACTGGGTTTAGCTGCTGACTGTCACTGAAGCCACTGTATTGGTTACTGCTTTTTTCCAACTTGTGACAGTGTAGTCTCGGAGAGGGAGGGATTTGGGAGAGGCAGCTCTGCCTCGAAGTCTCTTGTGAGGTTGTAGCTGAGGTGTTGGCCAAGGTTGAGGCCACCCGATGGCTTTCCTGCGGTTGTAGGGTCTTCTCCCAAGGCGCCTCCCTCGTGTGGTTCCAAGTAGGGGCCGGATGTTGGAGGCCTCAGTGGTCTCAGCAAGCATGGCAGGAGCCGTGTGCCCTCTGTGATCCAGCCTAAAGCCACATGCCGTTACCTCTGCACAGGTCACCCTGGGGCCGTGGCTTGAGGACACTCACGAGGTCACGACCACCAGGAGCTGGGTGGGAGGTGGGCTGCCCTAGTACCACTGGCCCCCAGTGATTAGCGTGCCTCCCCTCGCCTATCACAGTGTCAGTTCCAAGCCCAGGACCGCATCCTCTCCCTGAGGCCTGGGCAGAGGTGGACTCCATGAGGCCAGCTCCCCAGGCATGGCTCCTTTCAGTCTGAAGCCCTGAGAACTGGTGCCCTCCCAGGCCCAGAGCATAGCGGGGAGACACAGGATAACCCTTGTAGCTGCACCCACTGAGAAAGGGAAGACCTCGGGAGCACCTGAGAGGCCCCGACCCACACCGGTCTGACGCTGTCCGGGAGGGCACACGTCAGCCTTTGCAGGACTCAATGCTGGGGACGAGCCCGAGTGGTCGGTCCTTTGCTGTGACAGGTGTGCCTGGTCTTCAGGGCCACCGTCTTCTCAGCCTGCGTCGCGTAGTTCCGTCCCCTCTGCCCCCCGCTCCCAGCTCGGGCTGTTTCTGCCAGCGCTGCTCCTGTACATCTCGCACATCCAGTCACGTACTGGCTCCACTCATTAGCCAGAGGCCCACCCCGAGTTGGCTGTACGATGAGCCTTTCTCTCCCTGGGCTGCTGCTCACGCCGAGGACCGTGCTCTCGTTGCTCTTGGGGCTCTTGACCACCGCTCCAGAGAGACGGCCCGTGAGCCTCGGCCGCAAGCCAAGGGGCGGCATTGTGTGCAGCTGGGATGCCTGGGTCGAGTCCTGGCCTCTGCTCCCCCGCTTCCCCGTCCAGCTTCCTGCCAATGTGCACCCTGGGAGCAGTGGGTCCCTGCCACTCATGTGGGAGACCTGGATTGAGTTCCCAGTTCCTAGCTTTGACTTGGCCCAGCCCTAGCTATTGAAGGCATTTGGTAAGTGAACCAACAGATGGAAGATCTCCCTCTCAAAAAAAAAAATTTTTTTTTTTTTAAAAGGAGCAGTTCTCCAAGGTGTCCCCTGAGATCTTTCTGAGGCTCCAGCAGGTTTAAGTCACCCCCTCGGTTTCATCTACAACCTGATTTCCTGACTCTGCCTTGGACTTGCTCTTTGGTTAGAACCCTCCCTTGCTGGTAGCAGCATGTGCCATCTGGAGAGGCTGGGATTTTCCAGACTCCTTGATGTTGGACAAGTTTCCTGTTACCTTCCCTTTCTCCTCTCTCATTTTGCTTCCAAGTAGCCACAAGCAGCCAGGCAACACCTTCAGCATCCTGCCTGGAAACCTCCCAGGCTGGCTCACTGCACTCAGCAGGTGTATTAACCTTGGCACATAACCTGCAGCAGGGTTACTGGATCTCGCTGTCTCGTGAGAACGTCTTCCCACCTCCAGTGGCAGTTCCCTCACCTCCCTCACCTCCTCCGAGCCTCCCGGTGGCATCCTGGTCCTGGGCTGTGAGGCCGCTCAGAGCACCGGGGATGCTCACAGCCTCCTCCAGTGCTGTGCCCTTGTATGTAGGTTTTTGCTTTTTTTTTTTTTTTAAACAGTAGCGCCCCTCTTTGAGGTACCAGAACCTGGGTTAGTTGCCTATTGCTCTGATAGAAATTACTCCAGAACCTTGTGGCTTTAAATGGCCATCACTTGCCACCGCAAGAGTTCTGTGCAACAGGAATTTGGTGGCTGAGCTGAGCTGCTCTGGCCTGGGGCCCCTGTGGGTCTCAGCCAAGACAGCAGCCAGGGCTGTGTGGTGTGAGGTTGGGAGCTGGAGGGCCCACTTCAAGGGGCTCGCTCACATGGCGAGGTGGCCTCTCCAGAGGGCTCAATGTCCTCAAGCCCACGCGGCCAGCCGACTCCAACATAACCTTGGAAACCCCGTGCTGTCACCTCCTCAGCCCCTGTGTGGTCCCCTGGGCCTGCCCTGGTCATGGAGGGGGCTCCGCACCAGAGCATCACGGCCACGCTGGGTCACTCAGGCCCTCTCGCGCTGCAGCCCAACTACAGCAGTGCTGTCCTCCAGGGGCGGGTCCAGGACTGAACTGGATGAGCTCTCTGCCCACGCTAATGGCCCCGTCTTTGGTGCTGCCCGCTCAGGCTGCCAGGAGATAGCGGAGGAGTTCCGGGCCCAGGAGATCGACGGGCAGGCGCTGCTGCTGCTCAAGGAGGACCACCTGATGAGCGCCATGAACATCAAGCTGGGGCCCGCGCTCAAGATCTACGCGCGCATCAGCATGCTCAAGGACTCGTAGGGCGCGGCCCACTCGGCCAGGGCTCCTCCTCCCGCCCGAGCCCAGCCCAGCCAGCCAGCCAGCCAGACATTCCTGAGGGGCCCAGGAAGGGGGCCAGGTGGAGGAAGGGCTCTCCCTAGGGGCGTGGCTGGTGAGGGGGTCTGGGCACCCCCTCCGTGGCTCTCAGGGGCCTTCATTTCTGTGGGAGGGGCAGAGAGGTAGGTGGCGCAGAAGACGGGGCTTACGCTTGTAAATACTGATGGCACTGGCTTCCTCCAAAGTCCCAGTACTCTAGCCCCGCCCTCTTCCCCTCTCCCTGTCCCCATTTTCCAGGGGGCATATGGTCAGGGCTCCCAACCTGAGTTGGGTTACTTCCAAGGGCAGCCAGCAGGCCTGGACAGAGGCCTTGAAAGCCCTTGCCTTTCTTACCCCACTCCCTTCTCCATTGCCAGCTTCTCCCCTTCAGCCTGCTGCCAAGGCGGCCGGGGGTTCTCCCTCACGCCCTCTGCAGGGGGACAGGGAGCAGCGGGCCCAGTTTGGCCACGCCTGCTGGCACAGACGCCTTAACGCTGTGTGTGTGACTGTGTGACTGTGGGAGCCTGGACTGAGAGAGAGGCCAGAGCCGCCCTCTGGCGCCTCCAGGTGTTTTGTAGCAAACAGCCGCTTAGTGCTTTGTCCTGGACTCCACCCAGCCTCAGGATGGGGACAGAGGAGGAGGGCAGCCCTGCTGCGGAGCCCAGAGCAGGAGATGGAGGCTAGACTCGCGCGGGGCCCCCGGAGCCCCTCCCCACACTGTGACGTCCCTGCACTGCCCTGCTGTCACAAACAGCATTAAGGAGGCTGCCGGTGGCCTGGCCTCGTGCCCAGAGGCTGAGCCTCCCAGGCTGCCCGCTGCCCACCCGCGAGTGAGGGGAGGGCGAGCTGCAGCCACTGCTGACGGGAAGCAGGCGGCCTCTGCCCTCCCGCTCCCACACGTCTTCGCTTGGAAACTTCTAGCAGCAGTTTGAGCTACCTAAGGAGGAGGCGGGCGGGAAGGGCATGTCCCATCCCCACGGAAGGCTCCTGGGGGCAGAGGGGGCCTCTCCCAGCAGGGGTGGGCGCCCTCCTCAGCCTGTTCTCTTCCCACCCACACCCCCAGGCAGGGTTGGAAATGAAGGACTTTTTTAACCTTTTGTTTTTGTTTTTTAAAAATAAATCTGTAAAATCTCGTCTCTCTCTGCCTTTCGCCTGTCAGGGCTGAGGGGCGGGTCCCTGGGTTGGGGGTGTCCTACCCGACTGCCTGACCAGATGGCGGCTCCGGTGCTCTCTGCTGGGGCCCAGGTTCCACGGGGGAGCCCACGCCGCCTCTGCTTGTCACACTGCTTCTCAGAGGGAGCATCCAGGAGCCCGCTCCGTGCCATTCCCACCTGGAAGGCATGCTGGGCCAGGCTCTCCCACCCGCCCTCGAGCACCCAGCTCCAGCACCCGTGGGCCTGCGCTGCTTCATTCAGCACTTCCCACGCGTGTTTCAGGTGCTGCCACAGAAAGTGACTACAACCGAGAAGGTGGCCGCTAGCATTGAATAAAGGAGAAAGGACATTCCAGGCCAAAGCTAAGACATCTGTGAGGTACACAGGGCACAGCAGGCCAGCAGGGCTGGTGCTGACCGTGTGCCTCTATGAGCCAAGGCCTGGCTAGAACCCAGCAGGTGTGCCCACCCTGCACCTGCCACGGGGAAGGGCCTCAGTGTTCCTTCCCTTCCCCTAGGTTTTTTCCTCCAGGCACTGTTCAGAACCCCAGGCCCCACCCCTATGGATTCAGAATCTCCAAAGGAATATTTGGCATGGCAACTTCAGAACCACAATGCCTGTGTCTTGTAGCTCCTCTCTGAAAAGCCTGGTAAAATGGAGCTACAGGCCAGAGGAGAGAGCTTGACTTCATGTGCACAGTGGAAAAGAAACAAAAACACAGAGAATCAAGAGACCTGGCTTGCACAGATGGGAGGCCGTCTTTATGTGCAGTGAATGATAGGCCTCAGCCCCTGCACGTTTGAGGACTGCTTCCTTAAATCTGTACTTGCTCCTGTTGCTTACATTTCACACAGAATTTTGCAAGTTCAGTCGTGGCCCACAGTTTTAAATATTTCCCGGGGGCCAGCACCGTGGCCAGTAGGTAAGCATCCACCTGTGGCGTCAACATCCCACATGGGTGCCAGGAAGCAGGCAGCCTCTGCCGTCCCACACTTCCTCGCTGTCCTGGCTGCTCCTCTTCCCATCCAGCTCTCTGCGATGGCCTGGCAAAGCAGTACAAGATGGCCCAAGTCCTTGGGCCCTGGCACCCATATGGGAGACCCGGATGAAGTTCCTGGCTCCTAGCTTCGGATTGGCCGAGCTCAGGCCCTTGCAGCCATTTGAGGAGTGAACCAGTGGATGGAAGACCTTTCGCTCTGTCTGTAACTCTGCCTTTCAAATAAGTAAGTCTCAAAAAGTACTTTGGTGCCACAAAAAATAAAAAAATCTAGAAATCCACGCATAGCTTTGATGATACACATGTTTCATGAAACAGTACCCTTGACGTGCAGTCCATTCCTAGCCTGTCTCCCTTTCTCTTGGTGCTTTTAAAGTCGTGATCGTCATCCACTGAACTGGTATCACAGCTCCCAGATGGTTTATAGCGAGCACTTTTTTAGTTAGCATTTCCATCTCTAAACATAAACTTTTTTCCTTTTTATTAACACTAATTGTACATGCTGCAAGAAGCATCTGACTGAACAGTGTCACGGGTGGTGAGAGCGCTCACCAGAGCAGTGAGCAATGCCCTACCAGGACAGCAAGAGGCTGCGCGTTTAAACAGCTGCAAACTAGGAGGCATACATTTATCTGCAGTGTCTTCCCAGTCAGGGTGAGTTTTCCCATGATCCAACAGGTTTTCCCAGCTAGGTGATTTGCATATCTGGGCAGAGCAGGGGAGCTGGGGCAACCCTCTGCATTCCCAGCGGGCCAGCAGTGACAAGTCTGTGGCACTCGGAAGGTCTCCTGTAACTGCTTCGTGCTGAACCGGGGTGTTGTGTCCCGCCCTGGAACTGTGCCAGGGTTTCAGGGTGTCCCAGTGTCCCAGCTGCGGGGCTCCCGCAGTGGCAGAGCCTCGAGGAGGAGGAGGTGATGCCCTAGAAATGTCCTGTTACCCAGGGGCCTGTAGGTGGCCCCACCTGGAGGAGAGTTGTGTTTGCGTGTTCTGGAGGAGACACGCTGAGTTACTCTCAGGCAGTCACACCTAAGAACCCTTCCTTTGCAACCTGTTGGCTTTTTCTGATTTTGTTTAGGATCGACACCAGGATTCCATCTTGATTTTTATCCCCTCCATGTGATAACAGAATTTTTCGGCGCACACCACTGATCAGTCAGTCGCCCTGTAGCCAGGGTCTGTTTGTCCCTCCTAGCCAGGCTGGCTGTGAGCTGGTTGTTGGTCCCGTCCCACGCTGGGAGGGAATATCTGACCCCTAGGAGACAGTGTCAGAAACACTTTCAGCCACATCTGAGCACCCAAAAGGTTTCAGGAGTGGCTCTTAGACTAACTTTACCTGGGGTCCATTGCTAAGCTTTAGGCTGAGCTGTTTCGTAGGCGTGAGACCCGAATGGAGTTCCTGGTCCTGGCTTCAGCCTGGCCCAGCCTCCCAGCCGTTGTGGCCATCTAGGGAGTGAACCAGTGGATGGAAGATGGATCTCTGTCTCTCTCTGCCTCTCCCAAACTGACTTTCAAAATAAATGAACAAATCTTTTTTTTTTTTTTTTTTTGACAGGCAGAGTGGATAGTGAGAGAGACAGAGAGAAAGGTCTTCCTTTTGCCGTTGGTTCACCCCCCAATGGCCGCCACGACTGGCTAGTGTGCTGCGACCGGCGCACCGTGCCGATCCGAAGGCAGGAGCCAGGTGCTTCTCCTGGTCTCCCATAGGGTGCAGGGCCCAAGGACTTTGGCCATCCTCCACTGCCTTCCCGGGCCACAGCAGAGAGCTGGCCTGGAAGAGGGGCAACCGGGAAAGAATCTGGCGCCCCGACCGGGACTAGAACCTCTTGTGCCGGTGCCGATAGGTGGAGGATTAACCTATTGAGCCGCAGCGCCGGCCTGAACAAATCTTTAAACATAAATAAGTTAAGGACAGCTTTCCTAAGCAGTCAGGCTCACAAAGACAACAGATGATCTTACAGACGGCGACGAGAGATCACGCTGAGGACAGCATCGTAACTCAGAGTTCCGCTCAAGGACTGGCCGCCCGTTCTGGAAGTCTGCTGGGTCCAGGCAACATTACAAAAGAAAATGTGACGCCTGTTTTTGGGGTCAGGGGGCCAAGCTGATCCCAGTTAAGGAGATCGTCCCATTCTTCAGAACCACCACACATCGGGACAAGAGGAGAAAATGCCCCACCCAAGAGACAACCCTGCAAAGCTTTGCCAGGGCGTCTGTCAGGGAGAGCCCGGTTCCAATGGGAGTCGGCTTCAGCAGAGTGCCCCGCCCACTGGAGGGCCCGACAGCACCTTCTCAGCAAGGAGAGTGGCACCACAAGTCTTTCAGGCCAGTGTGGTTCCAAGAGGGGTGGTCAGTTGAGAAGCAGGGAGAGAGGGAGCCCCCCAAGATGGAATGGAAGGGGTCCTCCGCTCCCAGGGCGAGCACGGGGCCTCCCCATGCCACCAGAGTGACCCACACATGGGCAAGCTCCCGGGCCAGAGACGGGGGGAAGGGCTGGGAGTGACCAGGAGGCCAACAGCAGGCATGGATTCTCCCGGAGGAGCTGCTGCCACCTATGGCGCCACATGTGGGAGGTTGGTTCCTGGCGATCAGAGAAGCTACCAAAACGTCTCGGGACACAAGCAGCCAAGGCCAGTGGCCCCAGTGAGGAAAAAAATTCAGCAGGGCAGTCGGCGAGCAGAGTTAGGCTTACTGAGCACGCTGCAGGGGAGCGGTGGGCAGCCCGGCCAGAGGCTGGCCGCGGCATCACGGACGACCATCTAAGGCGCGAACCTGTGACAGCACTATCTTCACGATCCAGTGGCTGTCCCAGGCAAGGGACTGGCGGTTTGAAGTGGAGCTGGGGAGCGGGCACCGCCCTTAGCTTCGGGATTTGCCCTGTGCCCCTGGGGGAGCCTCCACACTATGTACCTATGGGGTAGAGTGTGACCCGCAACGGGGTCATCACAGAGCTGACACTACCCAGCGTCCACTTCGACAGAACCGTCACTGCCAGTTACCTTGGTTCCCACGCCGTCCTGGGTGCCTGGTGCACGCGCCCCCTTCACTGGGGAGCTACAAGCGCTCCACGGAGTGAACTGAATGGCCTGGCGTCACAAGAGCCTCCAGCTGAGGCTCCGTGCAGAACAGGCAAACACCAGCCCCTGGCCCCCATTCCCAGGAACGGAACAGTCCTGGGGGAGGGGCTCGAGGGCCCCTGGGGAGGGAACAGGAGTCAGAGCAAAATGGCTCAGAGTCTCCACTGACCAGGGCTGGCCTTCCTCGGAGCCACTTTCTTCCAGGTGACTGGCTCCACCCAACGCCGGGGCCAACTTCCTCCAGCAGGCCCCACCCCCAAGCAGGTCCCTCTCAGGCAGTACACCGGAGACTGCCCCTGTGAGTGTGGCTCCTGAGGCAGAGGGGCAGGAGCCACTTGGGCTCCGAGCTGAGAGCTCTGGCAGTCTGTCCCTCCAGCTTCCACGCATGGCTTTCAAGGAAGGACTCAGGTGAGTGGGGACACTGTCACGGGGGAGGAGGAGGGACAGCTGACCTGAGAGGGGTCCAGGCTGGCTGCCAGCAGCCAAAGGAGCCTAGGAGAGGTGCCCGAGCCAGCCAGCTGGTACCGGCTGAGCCCCAGATCCTGGGCAAAGGCAACTCAGACACCATCCGCAGAGGACAGCAGGGCAGGGGGCTGCATCCAGGGGCCCTCATGGCCTGTGAATGGTTGGGCAGCCCCTCTTGCTTCCTTCAACTCTGAGCCCCTGGTGAGCCAGAGAGCCCAGGCCAGGGGAACCATCACCTCAAGCCAGGCAAGCGCCCCATCCCCCGGGACTCCGCGGATTAGGAAGTCTTCTCCCCGGAGGAGAGAATGGCTGAGCTGTGGTTCTCTTCTGGAAGCAGGGAGTGGGGAGCAGGGCTGGGGTGGGGCTTATGGGACACCTTCTACAGGCAGGGCCTGGGTGGTTGGTCCCTTTGTAAACACGGAACCAAGGGTGAGACGCGCAGCTCAGGCAGGGCACCCAGGACCCAGGGCTCCCAGACTGGAGTAAGGGAGAGGGCAGGAGGAGCCGATGGGTCCCAGCACCCCCCTAGATCTGACTGTGAATTCAACTAGTCCACTTGGGCTGACTCTGTCTGGCTGCCCTGGCCGAGATCCAGTGTCCTAGATAAGCACTGGCTTGTCCTACCCCGATGGGGGAGTTGGGGCCGGCTGAGGCCTGGGAGGCCGGCTGCCGCCTTTTCCTGTCCCTGCCACAGGCTGTTACCTCCCAGAGCGGGTGGCTGCCTGGACAGCATCTGCCCCAGGCTCCTGGTAGCCAGAGTGGCCCAGCCGCAGCCAGTTCTGCCCGGGCTGCTTTAGACAGAGTGAGGGAGGCACAGCTTCGTGCACCAGACACTGACTTGGGAGGAGCCCAACCTACAGGGAGAGTAACAGGGTCCAGGACGCTGGGGAGAGGAGCATCAGGGTTGAGCTGCAGCCAGAAGGTGAGCCCAAAGCCATGCTGGAGGTCAGACAGACCAGAAGTCCAAGCTCGGCCCCACTACCCGCCAGCTGTGGGCCCCTGAGCCAGTGGCCTAGCCTTCCAGAGCTCAGTCGCTGTCCCCTCTAAGGGCCCCCTGGCAGAGTGCTGGCTCAGTGAAGTGTCACGATTATGAACAAGGAGTGCAGCCTTAATCCTGGAGAAAACAGGGGGAGTGCTAAAAAGCAAAGGAGTAACAGTTTGGGGAAGAGAATGAGGACAAAGAACCCATTCATCACTTCATCTATTGACTGAACAAATCGATGTTAATACCACCAATTAGGAGGCAGGCTCTGGGAGCTGGCACCAAGAACACAAAGTCTAATGAAGGGAGGCTCAGCGCTGAGTGGGGCAGGCAGCACCTCGTGGCATGCTGTCGGGGCAGCATCAACCCAAGCTCAAGTCTTCCTGTGTAAGACACAGCACCTCTAGCAATCCCCACCCTCATTCCCTTCTGGTTGCCATCCTGTGTGGCCCTGGCCTCCTCTCCCTTGGTGCTCTCTCCCGTGACACCGCTATCCTCCAGGTCAATCCCAGAACTGAGTCTGCCTTCTGGGCGCTGGCCCCTGGCCCCAGCCAGGCCACTGTTCCATTTCCTGGCCCCCAGCCCCGACCCTCTAATCAACGGCCGAGTCGTGCCCTTCACCACCCACTGCTCCTTTGCCCACCACCAACACGCTGGCTCACACCCCCAAGTAGCTCCCCTGGCTGCACCCTGGCCCCTGGCTCTTCTCCTGCCTCTGGCCAGGCCCTCTTTCCTAGCCATCGATGTCCAAGTATAACAGATCAGCCTGAGAATTTGTTTTTTTCTTCTCAAGTGTGAAAATATGTGCCACACCCTGGAGAAAATACTTACCAGGGCTTGCCCAAGGCCCTCAGGTGAAGTTCAAAGCCCTGGGCCTGGAGCGCAGGTGCTGCGTCACCAGCCTTGCCTGTCTGTACGTGCTCGGCTCTCACGCTCTCTGCACAACGACCTGCAGGTCCACGCACATTCTACGCTCTCATTGCTCCCTTGGCCACACTGGTGCTTCCTCTGTACGGGCCACTGCCATCTTTGGATAACTTGGGATTCTTCGGGTCCTGGCTTAGAGGTCACCTCCCTCCTCCAGGAAGGCTCCCGACTTCCTACCCACCAGGGCTGAGTGACACCCTCCAATTCGCCCTCAGAACAGCCTGTGCTGACCCTACTCACAACATGGGCTGTGCTGGGTTCCGCTCACCTGCTCTGCGTCAGTCACATGACCCATACCCCCTCGCCAATCGCACTCCTGCCTTCATGGCTCAACCCTGCCAACCAGGGGCTGTGTATCACTCCCCTCTACTCCTTGACCTACCACCGTGCTTGATGCTGAGTGTATGTGCAAGAAACAATATGCTGCACGCTTGGCTGATCGGACCCCGACCAACCTCTTGGGGCACAAACTTTCTCCATACTGAAAATTCTCTTTGGACACACTGCCAGAAGCAGGGGTTTCTGAATCAAAGGGGAGGGATGCTGAGAGCTTTGCATTCCCACAGCTGAGCAGCCTTCAAAGATTAAAGGCTGTGGCATTTTACACGAGCGCCCGTCTCTCCACATTCTTGCAGCTTGGCTATTTTCATTGGTTTTCTTAAAGTGCTTATTTTATAGGCAAAACATATCACCTTGTTCTGATTTGTGTGTCTTTGATTACCAGTGAGGGTAAGCGCATTTCCATATGTTTGCCTTCTAAATGCGTTTCTTCTTTGAGGATCCCTCTGTGTGATCCGGGAACAGTTAAGGCAGGTGGGCTTTCTACAAGATGACCCTCGTGGGTGAGAGGGGAGGGAGCTGCTGCCACGGTCTCGGCGACAGAAGGGTAGGCCAGTGTCACTATGGGGAGAACGGAAGGGGCAGAGATCAAGGAGGCCCAAGTCAACCCAACCTGGGGGCCGAGAGCAGCCGGACAGTGGTGCAGGAGAGGGAGCGGTCAGGTGCACCCGGTTTCTGGCTCGGCCAGCTGAGCAGGAGGAGGTGCTCTGTGCGGACTGAAATGGCACCAGGTGGACACACACATGCACAAAGCTGCAAGTGGTTCCCAGAGCCACGTCCCAGATACACCTGCTGAGGAAGCAGGAGAGGCAGGCGCAGGGTGCAGGCAACCTTCTTGAAAGAGACCAGGGAAGCCATGTTTGGGAAGGACATGTAAGGCAGGAAGAGGGGGCAGGAGGTTGCCTAGGGGGTGTGCAGGGGGAAGGCACCCCCACTGTCCGCAGCAGCTAACATCAGAGCTACTGCGGGGTGCGAGGCCTCACTCTGGTAGCCCAGCTCCCGTTAACCCCATGATGACCACTCTCAGCTAGCTGTCCTTCTCATCCCCTTTCACTCACGAAGACTGACATGCAGAGGGCCACACCTGGTTCGAGGCCATGCAGTTACTAAGTGATGTGTGGGACCGGGACTCAAATCTGGGCATCGGGCCCCGGTGTCTGTGTCTGACCATACAGCCGAAGTCTCCCTGGAAAGCAGGGGAAGGCGGAGTGGGACAAGCTCCCCAGGAGGGGCTTATTAAGATTCTCAACATTTGGGGCCCTTCCTGAGAAACAGCTAACCAGGGACATGTCCCAAGGCCTCACCTCCTCTAAGCCAGGGCTGGGGCCACTGAGCTGAGCGGCAGGAACCCGCCCAGCCAGGTGGCTAGAGACACCACAGACTGATGCTGTACATTTCTCTCTCTCTCCAACTTATTAATTTTTAAAGATGTATCTATTTATTTTGAAAGAGTTACAGAGAGAGAGGGAGAGACAGAGAGATTTTCCATCCATTGATTCACTCCCCAAATGACTGCGATGGCCAGTGCTGGGCAAACAAAGCCAGGAACAGGAACTTCAGCCAGGTCTCCCATGTGAGCAGAAGGGACCCAAGCACTTGGGCCATCTTCTGCTGCTTTTCCAAGGCCATTAGTAGAGCGCTGGATTGGAAGTGGAACAGCTGGGGCACAAACAGGCACCCATACGGGATGGGGTTGCTTTATCCACTATACCACTACCCTCTAATTTATTCATTTGAAATGCACGGGGACAGAGACAGACAGGTCTTCCATCTACTGGTTCACTCTCCAAATCTCTCCAAATGCCCACAACAGTCAGGGCTGGGCCACACTGAAGCCAGGCACTCAGAACCCAATCCAGGTCTCCCACATGGGACACAGAGACACAACCACCCAAACCATCACCCGCTGTCTTCCAGGATGGCACACTAGCAGGAAGCTGGGACTGGAGGCGGAACTGGGACTAGAATCAGGCACTCCCGTGTGGGATGCCAATATCCCAAGTGGCATCTTAACCCCTACACCAAATGCCTGCCCCAGCACATTGTCTCTGATCAAAGCCAGCCCAGCAACTCATCCATCCCAGACAGCTCTCGACTCCCAGCCACCAAGCCATAAGCCCCCTTCATCCTCTCCCAGCCTTCTTAGGTCCAAGATCAGCCCCACCCACCCCACAGGCTATGAACACAACCCTAATGTCACAGTCCCCAGGCATGCCCAAAGTCAGACTGCTGGGGACAGCAAAGGATTAGACATCTAAACGCTCAGAGGTGCCCTGGTTCGGTAAACCGTATTATCCACAGTCAGCGCGGGGGGAAACCAGACAGAAGGGTGAGGTCCTTAAGCTGTGAGATGGAACAGCCTCAAAGAGATATAACGGTCAATGGGGAATGCAAGGTGCCGACCAGCTGGGCCCCTCTGCAGCCACTACTGGGGCAGCAGGGCAGACATCTGGCCTGGGAGTAAAGACACCCGGATCCCACACTGGAGTGCCTGAGCTCCGTCCCTGGCTCCAGCTCTGGCCCCTGATTCCAGCTTCCTAACAATGCAGTCCCCGGAAGGCTGCGGCAATGGCTCAAGTAACTGGGTTCCTGCCACCCATGCAAACCTGGAGCGCATTCCTGCTTCCCGGCTGCTCCCAGCTCGGAGCCATTTGGGAGGGAACCACAGCTCTCTGTCCCTATGTCTCTCTGCCTCTCAAAAATAATTAAAAAGAAAGAAGAGAATATTAGAATGGCTGCCCCATACACAGGAGCGGAGTGGCTGGGAGAGGGGAAGACTATGCACGGCATATGTATATATACACATACACACTCATTTATCCCCGCGAGTGCCTGCACCACGTGCACAGTGAATACTCTTATTCAGAAGAGGAAATAAACTGAAACACTGGAAGCGCACAGTGGATCCCGCACACGCACACATACACGCGCGTATCTGAATGAATTGCTGATGCTCCTCTCCATCCTCACCCCTCACCCCCAGGGCCAGGAAGAAAACCCTCTGGCGGCTGATCCTACTTGCACTTGGCCTCTTGGGCTTGCTCCTGTATGGGCTCCCAGTCGTCAGGTACAAGCCCCTTCCCAAGCACCCGAGGTGGGCACTCCGGGGTCAGGGTTAGGGTGGACCTCTGCAAGAGCCCTCTCCAGGGATGGGAGGTGGTGGCGAGCTCAGCCCCAGGCAGGTGCCCACGCCCCTTAGCTGTCCCCATCTTACAGGCACCTGGAAGTCCTCATCCCCATGGGTTTCTGCCCTTCAGCCACAATGTCCCAGCTGGGAGACAACTTCACAGGTGTCTTACATCCCTGGTAAGGAGTGGCCATCCCTCTGTCCTGGTGTCCCTGTCCTTCCCCCACCCCAGTAGAGCCAGGATCTCAGCCCACAACCCTAGGGTCACATGTCTCACAGTCCTCTAGCCGCCTTCACTGCTTATGGCCAGGGGTTTGGGGGGGCAAGGACTGGTCTGATGCATCTGCAGGTCCCTAGGGCCCAGCACTGGGGAGACAGCAGTGAGCAGGCTCCAGCAGGCAGCTGAATGGAGCTGTCTCCCCACCCCTGCCCTGGCCAGGGCCCGGCCTGAAGTCCTGACCTGCACCTCCTGGGGGGCTCCCATTATTTGGGACGGCACCTTTGACCCAGATGTGGCCCAGCAAGCGGCAGGAGAGCGGAACCTCACCATTGGGCTGACTGTCTTTGCTGTGGGCAGGTAAGGCCTGGGTATGGGGGTGCTGTCTAGGCAGGGAGGTTGAGGGCTGTGCCTGTGCATAGGGCACGGGGCATCCTGCTCCCCTTGGCTGAGATTCCACAGTGGAGCGAGAGGCAAAGGCAGCACCCTTGCCCCAGACTCCCAGGCCGAGTCCAGGGCCATCCCCTTCTTCCCCCTCCTCCCTGGACACCAGCGTCACAGGGCCCGGCAGCCAGGGGCTCAGGACCTCTGAGAAGGAGCCAGCCTAGAGACCAGGGCTGACCCACCGGGGGCTCTCCAGGCACAAACGATGCCAGTCCCCCAAGGGTCCAGCCCAGCCTCACTCCCTAGGTGTCCTGCTGGCCAAAGCAGTCCCAGGTGTGCCCCGCCCTTCCAGGCAAGTGGGGCACACCACCTGTAAGCTTCTTTAATCTGCCACTCCAAGATTCTAGAATTGGAAGGTTCTGGAGTTCAGGACACTGGTTTGGGTAGGTCTAGGAAACAAGACCAGAGTGGAGGATGCGCCCGTGGGCGGGCCGTGCAGGGAGCCGCTTTGGGGTTGACCCGGGCGCCCCGGCCGGCCTGTAGGTACCTGGAGAAGTACCTGGCGCGCTTCCTGGAGACGGCAGAGCAGCACTTCATGGTGGGCCAGCGCGTGCTGTACTACGTGTTCACCGAGCGCCCCACCGCCATGCCACGCCTGGCTCTGGGCCCCGGACGCCGGCTGCACGTACAGCGCGTGGTGCGCGAGCAGCGCTGGCAGGACGTGTCCATGGCTCGCATGTCCACGCTGCGCGCCGCGCTGGCCGGGCGGCTGGGCCGCGAGGCGCACTTCGTGCTGTGCATGGACGTGGACCAGCACTTCAGCGGCGCCTTCGGGCCCGAGGCGCTGGCCGAGTCGGTGGCGCAGCTGCACGCCTGGCACTACCACTGGCCGCGGCGCCTGCTGCCCTTCGAGCGCGACGCGCGCTCGGCCGCCGCGCTGGCTCCGGGCGAGGGCGACTTCTACTACCACGCGGCCGTGTTCGGGGGCAGCGTGGCGGCGCTGCGCGGGCTGACGACGCACTGTGCGCGGGGCCTGCGGCAGGACCGCGCGCGCGGCCTCGAGGCGCGCTGGCACGACGAGAGCCACCTCAACAAGTTCTTCTGGCTGCACAAGCCCGCCAAGGTGCTGTCGCCCGAGTTCTGCTGGAGCCCGGATATTGGCCCGCGGGCCGAGATCCGCCGCCCGCGCCTGCTCTGGGCGCGCAAGGAGTACGCGCTGCTGCGCACCTAGCGCCACCGCCAGATCCCGGGCGTAGCCCGCCTGCCTGCCGGGGTTCTGCTGGCCCCGCGTGGCTCCTGTAGCTCCAGGAGGGTGTGGAGTGGGACCTGGGAGGAGGATAGGCCCGCTAGCCGGGGTCCCGCGCAGAAGCCGCGTATGAGCCTGGCCCCAGCCCTGTCTCCTTCCCGCACTTTCCTGCTGGGCTGAGCCACTGCTGGCCGCAGACCAGCAGTCTAGAGACCGGGCACCACTGACCTTGCCACCATCAGCGAGCAGATGCCACCTGTAAGGATGTTTTCGCCTGACCCTCTTTTGTAAAATAAAGAAACTGAGGCACGAAGAAAGAACGAACTGCCCGAGAATCCTGGTGGGTCCCTGTGCTGTCCGCAGCGGAGAGCCGGGTTGGTCCCTGTGCCCAAACACGCTGCTGCAAATCAGGAAGGCAGGCGGCCGGGTGGTGGCTGGTGCCCCGCAGGTGTCGTTTGTGTGCCTTAAGTACTATCGGAATAAAGTGTCCCAGAAGTGGCCGTGTGGCCTTTTCTAAGTCCACGAAAATGATATTTCCTGGCCGCAAGGCTGGTGGGGCTTGGCGGAGGGTGGGGGTGGGGTGGGGGGGTGGAGCACAGTGCCTGGGAGGTGAGTGTGTCCATCCGTGGACTTCCTAGAACACAGGCTCTGAGTTGGGGGACCATGGTCATCAGGCCTCAGGCAGAACCAAGGCTGGGGCCGGCGCTGTGCCGCAGCGGGTTGTGGCCCTGGCCTGAAGCGCCGACATCCCATGTGGGCGCTGGTTCGAGACCCGGCTGCTGCACTTCCGATCCAGCTCTCTGCTATGGCCTGGGAAAGCAGTAGATGGTCCAAGCCCTTGTGGGAAACCTGGAGGAAGCTCCTGGCTCCTGGCTTCTGATCCACACAGCTCCAGCCATTGCGGCCATCTGGGGAGTGAACCATTGTGTGGAAGACCTCTCCCTGCCTCTGCCTCTCTGTAACTCTGACTTTCAAATAAATAAAGAGAGAGAGAGAGAGAGAGAAAACTTGCACTCTGCTATGCCTAACCTGCTGTGCCACAACACTGTCCTTTCTCTGCAGTGTTGTCACAGACCTCGCATTGCAGAGAGCAGTTCCAGCTGTTTACCTGGCCCGAGCCTGATGATGTTTATACATTTCCATGAGCAGGTTCAGGTACTGATGGCATGACACAGGGGATTTCTTTCCTCCAAAACGCAGTCTCGAGTGCCCAGGGGCCTCCTGCCTGAGCTACAGGAGCAAAACCCAGAAGGCTTTTTGGACTATGGAACAGCCAGGCACGCCTAAGACCAGGTGGTCATGCTCTGGCTGCACTGGTGGGAAAATGTCCTCTGATTTACCCAGTGATGGCCACCGAGGGTGACATGCACCAACCCTAATGACCCTGGGCCACTCAGAGACCTGACCGAAAGCCAGTAAGATCCTGGCGTGAATCCACTCTTCCTCTACCTCTGTGTGGGACGTGGGCACGTTCCTGACCTTTGCTGGGTCTGTTCTGTTTCTCACCTGTCCGACGGGGATGCCAGTCCCCTCCTTGCAGGGGTTGCTCTAGAGCTCTGGAAAACACAACTTGCCCTCCCTCTCCCTGCCTGCCCCTTCCCCGGCAAGTTCTCAGAGTGCAAGGACTTTGCCCAAGAACAGCCATTTCCTGTTTGAAAGAAGTGTCCAGGCCCTGGGCTAGGAGCAGCCTTGTGTGCTATTGATGGAGACCTCCCCAGGGGAGCTGCTGGGTGGGCAACATCTTGGAAATGGCTCCCTCCTAGTGAGCCCTGGGACCTAAGAAGGGAGGGGGCAGGGGATGCAGGGACCTGAGTCTGAAGCAGGAATGCCAAGGAACGGAAGCTCCTTCTCCAGCTACCTCCACGGACGTAGCCGCAGGCCACAGCACGAATCCCAGGCCCACAGGGGCGATCAGGTGAAATCAGACTCCCGGTCCCCGGGGTGTCGCTGCTGCCTGTGCAGCCTCTACCTGCCCTGCCACGCCAGCTCACCTGGCACCCCCAGAAACTCCCGAGTGTCTTCGGGATCACGGATGGCGAGGAACACAGATGCACCAGGGCTACTACGCCAAGGACAACACCTGCATTTACTGTTACCCTGCAGGTGCCAGGCACAGCCCTGAGCCTCAGTACCAACTCCTTTCATCCTGTTACTTGCCTCACGTGACCCATGAGGACACCGGGCGCAGACTAGAATGGACTTCACACCACCAGCAGCTTTCACTCACCAATGTGAGAGCAAACAGGAAACAAAACACAGCCGAAGAATGAAGCCGGACGGGAACCCGAGCTACCACCGGCTCTGGGTCTCCTGTGTCCACTTGTGCCCAGCACGGCCACCCCTGCCCCCAGTCTGCAGGGACTGCAGGTGCCTGCTGGCTCCTGACTAACTTGTTCCTAGGAGTGGAGAGCCTGGGTAGAATCCGCAGCACAGGTGCTGGGTAAACACGCAGCACCTGGCTCTCGGGGGTGGGGTGTGGGGGAGGGGGAAGCCAGCCCGGAATCGCCATGTCTGCCACTCTCCATGGTGGAAACGCCACTGTGGTCGATCTCAATGGCATCACTCACTGCAGGGGTGTGCACCTGTTTTCATGAGCCAGGACAACCTGTGGGATCCCCGGCAAGCACGCCGGTCCTTGGGGTCCCACACCCATTCTGCCTCCTGACGCTGACACACGCTGGGTCCCCCTCGCGGAGACACAGTGGAGATGAGGGCTTCACCCCGTGCTCTGGGTGAAGAACGTGGGTCCCACAGCCCGCGCCATGTCCCAGTCAGAGCCAGATGACCTGACAATGCTGCAGTCTGTCTGGGGCTGCTCACCCCGCAGGAGGCGGATGCTGAGAGCCCCAAGTGGGGAGCTGCCCCACCACTGCCCCGTTACGCCAGCCCATAAATCCCCCCGGGACCCTCCATCCCTTGCAGCGGAGTTTCAACCCACAGGGCCAGGAGGGCTCCCTGGTGACGCGGGGCTAAGCCACGTCCAGGTCCCCGGGGCCAGCCCTGATCGATTTGGGGGGCCGTAATTCCCGCACTCTTCTCCTGGAGAAGCGACTCACGGGCCTCCATGGGGGGAACCAGACGCGAAGGCGACTCCCTGGGCCTGTCTCCAGACACCTAACGTGACTTCCGCACATCAGGCCCTCAGCCCAGAGAGGCGTGGGGTGCCTCTGCCCCCGAAGCAGGGGCAAGCGAGAGCCGCGGATGGGCCCAACACTGACTGTGGACGCTCTAGAACGGGACGAGCCTGGTCAACCGAGCCCCCTGCCACCTACGCACCGCACGGCCGCCTCCACCTGCTGCCGGCCTCCCGGCGCAGGAGCCATGTGCCCACGGGGAGAGGGTAAGGGGCCGCTCCCTTCCCCAAGTCGGGGCGGGGGGTGGGGCTGAGGTGGGCGGGGCAAGGCACAGAGTGGGGGGCGCCCCGCCCCGCCCCCGCACAGAGCACGCCACACACGGCTGCCGCCCGGGTGCAGGTACAGTTTATTCTTCACAACAGAGAAATACAGAGAGCAGAGGGCTCATCATTCCTTCGCTTCTTGCCCCCTTTAGTGCTTTCCCCCCACACTTGATTTTCCTCCTTGCTCCCCACCCCTTTCCTTCCCCAGACGCGAACTTCCTTCCTGAACAGCCTGAGGGGCGCCTGCCCTCACCTCCCTGCCACCAAGATGCAGACGGAGAAGCCAACAGACGGTTTCTTTTTTTTAATAAGGTAACTAGTCTCTAAGTACGGTGGCCTGGAGGTCCCATATTAAAAAGCAAAGGGGTGTTAACAGCATGGATCACAGCGTATTTACAGGGCAGTAACATGCGGACGAGAAGCTACAATACTGAGATTCGGACGACGCAAGTCAAACAAGGGGTGGGGTGGAGGCAGAGACCCCCGCGGGAGGAGAAACCCCAGGAATCGTCAAACTGGGAAATCAATGGCGAGTTAAGGCTTAAAAAGTGTATAAAAATAACACAGTTAATATTCAAAACGGAACTCCAGATACAGAATATATAGATGAGTTTCTGTCTAGCTTTCTTTTATTCCCCGGGGGAACGTGGGGGGCTTCTCCGGGCTCTGTACATGGTTCCTATATACAGGGACACGCATGGCTTTCAGATCGGGGTGTGTCTGTGGGGGCTGGGGGCACGGCCTGCTCCTGGGACCCTCTTCCCCTGGGCTCGGGGTGGGGGGCTGGGGAGCCCCCCCACCCCGACAGCAGGGAAGGCAACCAACCCCCTCCCTGGGCACTGTCCCCATCTGGAGGAAACCCTACAGGGGTCCTGGTCCCAGGCGCGCTCCCTGCCCAGGCCCACAGCCTGGGGTGGCAGGAGAGGTAGCCCATAGGTTTCCCGGCCAGCACCGAGGTAGACTGGGGTGGTCTTCAGGGCAACAGGGGAGGGGCCGGGTCTCACCCAGCCCACCCCGGCCCCACAGCCCATCACTGCACCCTTTGGTCCTGCGGATCTCCCCGGCCCCTCTCTCGTCTCCGCCTGCTGAAGCCTGGCCAGCCCCGGCCGCCGCTGCAGCCCTCGGAGGGCTGGGCCAGGCAGCCAGGGGCAAGGGGCTCGCTCCGGCGGCTTCTTGCCCGCTCCCACCTGGGGTCCCCTTTGCAGACCCAGGCCTGATCCTTCCTTCAAGGCCCGGTTAGAGGAGGTCCCACGTTGCCCTCTGCTTCTCTGCATCCATCCGTCCAGTTCTTTTCATGTCTCGGTCTTAGCAGCACCAACTTCCTGACCAATAAATATCTTCTTTTTTTTCTGTTATTTCCAAAACAAACTTAAAAAAAAAATCAGTGAAGCAAGTGAAGGGCGGGAAACAGAAAGAAAATCCAGCAGAGGTTCAAAGTGCTCTGAGATCGTCTTTGGATGCCACCGGACACTGCAGAACCTCGCAGCTGGCCTGGCCGTCCTCGGAGCTGGACCGGGCAGGGCTTCTGTGGACCACGCTTTCTGGAAGGTCGGGAAGGTCGTGAGAGCGCCTGGTGGTTCCCGGAGGGCCCCTGGAGGGCGTCGGGGCCTGGTGCAGCCTGGGTCGGTGCAGGCCGGCGGGCCGGGCGGGGCTCAGATGAGGGAGATTCGCACCGGGATGCCTGGGGACTCGGTCCTCTGGGGAGAGTGATGGCTCACCAGGTGCTCCACCACCGTGTGTTTGGACATGTGCTTCATCAGGTAGGTCTCCTGTGGACAGGAAGGAGACTGTAAGCACTGGCAAGAAAGGCCAGGAGGGGTGGGCACTGTGGCGCCGGCATCCCATATTGGTACCAGTTCGAGTCCCAGCTGCTCCACTTCTGATCCAGCTCCCTGCTAATGCGCCTGGGAAAGCAGTGGAAGATGACCAAGTCCTTGGGCCCTTGCACCTGCATGGGAGACCCAGAAGAAGCTCCTGGCCTGGCTTCAGCCTGGAACAGCTCTGGCTGTGGCGGTCACTTGGGGAGTGAATCAGTGGATGGAAGATCTCTATCTTCCCCTCTTTCTTTGTCTCTCCTCTCTCTCTCTCTCTCTGTAACCTTGCCTTTCAAATAAATAAATAAATCTTTTAAAAAAGATAATCCTGATTTATTAAAAAAAAAAAAGAGGCAAGGAGGCTGCAGTTCCCCAAGTGGCCACTGGAGGGCTCCTTGGAAGATGGGCCAGCTGCTGGTTGGTGGTGGCCACAGCCTTAGGGACATCCAGCACTGGTTTAGAGCCACGGCATGGACTGCACTGCTGCCAGGGCAGGAGAGTTCTGGCTCACCTGCTGGAGTGCAAGCCAGTGCCCTGGCACCAGGCTCACCCCTCGGCAGCGCCTACTTTACTGCCTGTCCTGTTGTCCCAGGGCAGGGGGCCTGCAGGATTCCCTGCACCTACCTGCTGTTCCCAGTAGGCCCGGGTCTGCCCAGGGCTCTGCCATTTCTCAGAGCAGTTGGACCGTGGACAAGGCATTTCACCCTCCCAAGCCTCAGTTTCCCCCCTCTGTAAGCAGGGAGGGGGAGGGAAGATCCTCAAGGGGTTGCTGCGGTGATGTGGATAAAGGCCCCAGCAGGCAGGATGGGGTGCGGCACCCACTCCTTCCGCAGGCCCAGTGGTTCATTCCAGAAGGCCCAAGGCACCTGGAACTCGGCACTTGCTCAATGGGTCCTCTCAGGGGGAAGCTGAGCCCCCAAGTCTGCTCTGAGACACATGATCAACTCTGCTCTGACCTTGAACTCCAGGACAGGGGAGATGTCGAATTCCCAGCACTTGGCAAGCAGCAGCCCTGGCTGGCATGGGACAGCTCGCTGAGCACCCCGCCTTCAGCCACGCTGGCTGCCCCCAGCCAGAGGCACCGCCCAAGAACACCGTCCTCGGGGCGGGCACTCGGCGCATCAGGTGGGACGCCTGCATCCCACGTGGCAGTGCGAGGCTTCGGTTCCGGCTCCACTTCTGATCCAGCTTCCTGCCCACGCACACCCTGCGAGGCGGCAGGTGACGGCTCATGTGCCTGGGCCCCTGCCACCCATGTGGGCGCCCTGGTGAGGCTCCTGGCTGCTGGCTTCAGCCTGGCCCAGCATGATGACCATTGCGGACATTTGGGGAGTGAACCAGCAGAAGGAAAAAATGTGCCTGTCTCACTCTGCCTTTCAAAAAAATTAAAAATAAATAAAATTTTAAAAAAATCTTCCCTGCTGGTCTCCTGCTGGCCTCCCATTCCACCTGGGAAAAAATGCAAACTTCCACACAGGGGCCCTGCATGAGCTGAATCTGTTTTTGGTCCCTGCACCACACCAACCGTGCCTGCGCTCACAACCCCATGGGTGACGCTCGGCCAAACAGTCAGCACCTCTCTCCTCCTCACCTACCCGTCCTCCAGGCTCCGTGGAAATGTCCCTGCCCCGGATGGCCTCTCTGTCCTGCCCCTCCCGGGGCACGCGCCTCCTTTGGAGCACTGCTGTCAATCACAGGTGACATCCCAACCTAGGACACCCTCCAGGCTGTCACAGCTTACAGAGAGGTGGCTAATGGCATTGGCGGGGAGAGGCCAGGGACGCGGCTGACCGTGCGCAGGGAAGCCCCCAGGTATCCTGCCCGACGTCTGGGACCAGGGCTGGGAACCTGTTGCCATGCAGGGCTGAGGACAGCCGGCCATTGCACGTTTGCACACGCGGTGCCCTGTCCCGTGCCTGTCTCTAGCAGAAGCTCCTAGCCGTTCCTGGGGGCAGCACCGTGTTTGGTTCATTCTGACTCCTAAGGGCCCGGCCCAAGCCTCCATCGCTGCACCGGCAAACGTTCATCAGACTGCAGTGCGCAGCCGACCGCTCTGCTGGCGCCTCCATCGCAGACGAGGAAACAGAGGCTCAGCGGTCCCTACGTGGGGCCTAGGAGGTCTGTTAGGCAGAATATCCGGGCAAGCCGCTGGGTGCGGAATTCCCATCCAGGGCTGCTCTGGGCCGTGTCACGGGGCCACCTTGTGGCCACGGTGGGGGTTGCAGCTTTCCCTGCCACCAGGAAGGCGCTTGTCTCTCCCGCACCCCTCACCCCACCTCCACCCGGCCAGGCTGTCCCAGGGCCCCGGGAACCAGACTGGGGGCCCTGCCCGGGCAGCTGCAGACGAAGGGGAAGCACAAAGCCGGCTCTGCCCTTCCCTGTGACCCTGGGGTGTTGGGGGGTGGGGACAGTGAGCGAGGACTCACCGAGGTGTAGGCCCGCCCGCACATGCTGCAGCAGTAGGCCTTGGCGTGCTTGATGGCGTGGGCCGAGAGGTGGATCTGCAGGGAGGCGGAGTCTGAGTAGGCCCGGTAGCAGTTGGGACACTTGTAGGGCTTGTCCTTGTTGTGCTGGCGCTGGTGAGACTGCAGGGAGCACAGTGGGGTGGGGGGTGGGGGTCACAAGGCAGCCGGGTCCCCCAGCCCAGGGGTTCTGGGTCTGCACAGGCTCCCGGCCCGGGGAGGGGGAGCAGGCAGCACTCACCTGGAGGTTGGAGAGCTGAGTGAAAGCTTTTTCGCAGCCAGGATGTGGGCACTTGTAGGGTCTGTCGCCTGTGTGGATTCTGCAACGGGCAGTCCAGTGAGGCAGGGCCCCCCCCCCCCCGCCGCCACGGCCTCAGGAGCCCCACGCCGCCCACTCTCCCCGGTGGCCGTGGCAGGAGCTGGGGACCTCGCTGACCAGGTCTCCCGACCCAGCCCTCCAAGGTCCCCGCTCCGCCCAACCCCAAGCCAGTGCCCACACGGAGACCCGGCCCGGCTTCTCCAGAGCACACACGGAGCACGCGGACTCCTGGCTCCGGGAGACCTTCCCCGCTCCTCTGCCTCCTTCCCCACTTCCTGTCCCCTTTCCGTGTCAGGTGCCTGCTGTCCCCACCCCCCCCACCCCCCCCACCCCCGTTCTGGAGGTCTCATCCAGGCTCCACCACTGACTCCCTGGGCAAATCCCTGCACCTGTTTGCTCATCTGTAAAAAGCGTATAAAAATGCAGCTCTCTCCCCGCCACCTTCCTGAGCTTTGTGAACAACACCCGTCAGGGGCTTAGCCTGGCACTGGCACACAGTTGGCCCTCAATAAACACTGGCCACTATTACTTTCATTCATTCATTCAACATTTATCACATCAGACTCCTGTGCACCCGGCACCATGCTGGGTGCTTGCCAGACATCCGTGAACAAAACAGACACAAACGACCGCCTGAACAAGCAGCAAGAGGCAGCACACGGGTGAACCACCCCAGAAGGTAACAGGTGCCACGGAAACACGGCAACTGAGGCGAGGGACCACGTTCCGGCCTCAAATTCGGACGCTCCCCTCCCCCAACACCCATGCAGGTGGGTCCCCCTCCAGGCCTCCGAGCCTTCGCTCCTGCTGTTCCTCTCCCCAGGAATGCCCTTCGCCCTCAGGCTGGGGGTGGGGGTGGGGGTGGGGGCGGGGGCACAGCCCCCTCCACGCTCAGCTCAGGGCTCCTCCGCAACCTCTGCATCTCTCCCTCCCTCCCACGGGCGTTCCACACCCACCAGCCAGCCCAGCTCCCCGTGGGAGTCCTGGGGGCCAGGCCTGCCTCTCACCACCGCAGGCGCCGGGCTGGTGGGGAAGCCGGATGCACCGAGGACCAGGCTGCCTGTTCCCACTGAACACAGTGCGCTCGCCTGCAGTCCCGACTTTCAGGTCAGGTCCAAGCCCCCAACGCTCAGGTCAGAATCTTCTCCTTGTAGGGCATCTTCCCTGGCACCCCCGCCCCTGACGGTCACACCTCCTCAGGCAGCAGTGAGCTCAAGATGGCACCAGGGATGGCTCCTGCACTCCCGTGGGCCAGGCCCAGCCCAGGGGCTCCGCGGGCTCCTGCTGCTCTCTCGCCTGGCAGCCCAGCCCCCGTGAGCCCCTCCTGCAGCCTGGCAGCCCAGCCCCTTGCCTCCCCCCAGCAGCACGCGCATGCCTGGGGCACTCACTCCAATTCCCCTTCTGCCGCCTCCTAGCTGGGTGATCCTGGGCGAGTGACTCTGCCCCCACGAACCCAGCTCCCTCAGCTCTAAAGTGAGTGTAACAACCCAGCTGATGACAGCTGAGGGACGAAATGACTTATGCGACAGGTGTTCATAGGCTATTGTTGCAACGCCCACTTTCAGTGTGGTAAAACAAATTCTGGCATTAGCGCATTAGTGAAGAGGAAATGTACTCAATATTTAGATAAGATTACTAAGGACTCGTCAGCTTTCACTTTTCTTTCCCAGGTATTAAACACATGAGACTGAATGGCTTCAGCCATCTTGGACTTTGCAACTGAAACAATGGCAGATGCAGTGAAAGCAACATCCCTTGGTATGTCTCCCTCTCCATGACATTTTTCAAATTCATTATCTCTAGTGCAGAAAAACAAACTCAAGCCGGCGCCGTGGCTCACTAGGCTAATCCTCCGCCTTGCGGCGCCGGCACACCGGGTTCTAGACCCGGTCGGGGCGCCGGATTCTGTCCCGGTTGCCCCTCTTCCATGCCAGCTCTCTGCTGTGGCCCGGGAAGGCAGTGGAGGATGGCCCAAATGCTTGGGCCCTGCACCCCATGGGAGACCAGGAGAAGCACCTGGCTCCTGCCTTCGGATCAGTGCGGTGCTCCGGCCGCGGCGGCCATTGGAGGGTGAACCAACGGCAAAAGGAAGACCTTTCTCTCTGTCTCTCTCACTGTCCACTCTGCCTGTCAAAAAAATAAAAAATAAAAAAAATTAAAAAAAAAAAAAAACCAAACTCAAGATGTACAGGACTTTCCGGCTATCTCGTCCGCAGGCTGGACACACAGGAGCTCTTAGCCGGGGGACCGTTGTTCAGCTGCTGCTACGTTATTACCATCAGAGCCGAGGACACCAAACGACACCTTCCCCACTATCATCACCATTAGGTGGCTACAGGACATCACGGTCAGGGAAAGCAAAACAAAAACCAAACACACTTTGCTCCCTGCATAAACAAACAAACAAACCCAGACTCCCTCTGTCTCGTGCTGGGTCTGCAGACAGACAGAACTGGGGGCCCGTTCCTGTGGTTTACCAAACCCCTCCCGAAGCCACGAAGCCACTTGGTCACATCTGCCGCCACGCGATGACCCAGGCACGTCTGCTCACTGCACGAGACACCGCTGCTGTCTCTCCTGCGGGACGAGCGTCCTGCCTGCCTGCTGTCAGGACACGGGGAGTTTAACGCTCAGAGGGCTGGTCCTTCTGAAGTCCGCACGGAGGCGGAGGCGATGCTCTGCGAGTCACCTGCTCTCCCTTCCTCCTCCCCACCCGTCACACCACTCCCCTGGAGACCCTCCGTGCTGTCACAGCGACACGCGCTCTCGGCTCCCGGGGCAGGGCCCTGCTCCCTCTCTGCTGGGTGGGGCTGCTTTCGGCCCCTTCCCTAGTGGCAGGAACACTGGGAGGGCGGGTCTGACTCCAGGAGCCGGTCCTCTGGTCCCTATAAGGGACGGGGAACGACACAGGGCTTCTGTGGAGGAGCAGACGACGAGGCGTGGGGACCCTGCTTCTTCTTTGCATTTTTGTTGTTGCTTGTTCGATGACTCGGGGGCTTTGGGGGCAGCTGGGACACCCACCTCTTGCCTGTTAGGGCACCTCGTTAATCTTGGTGGCTTACAAATTGTCCTCCAAATGTCGACAGAATCCTCTTAACTTGTTGGTTTGGTTTCCTGCACTTAGGAACTCGAATCATGCCAAAGGGGAGAAAAAGACAGCGAAAAAAGTGTGCCCTCAGAACGGAGAACAATGCCTGGGCCAAGGAACATTCTAGAAAATCCTCTCCTGCCCGGGCCTGTTCATTTCTTGTTGGTTTTGGGGGTCACATTCTTAAATGATATTTTTAAGGCCAAGTCTACCTGTGGAAAAGAGAGTTCTTCGCACTCATCTCAACCTGCTCCTGGGCTGAGGTTCTGGACGAGCGAGCGTTCTGCGCCTTGCCTATCCTGCCGACCCGTGCCATCCTGCAGTCCCGTCCTCAGACCCCGGCCCCTCACTCAGAATAATAACACTGGCAGGTTGTCTGTTACATGCAGTGTTCTCAGAGTTTCCTGATGGCCACTGGGCAATACCAAAGATCGGATCCCTCGCTTTACAGAGGGGTGCACTCGGGCCTGCTTCGTCATAGTCTCTGTATTTTTTAATTAGCCAAATATCAGCGCAGCCACAAAAGTTGCAACTCAACACAAGACAGGTGCAGGCTCCCTGGGTTAATTTTAAACATATGGAAATATGGGAATATATATGTAATACACAATAAATATACACATTTTGTATACTTTTTTAAGATGGGCAGGGGCTGGCACTGTGGTGTATCGGCTAAAGCCAGTGCCTGCAGTGCCAGCATCCCATATGGACACTGGTTTGAGTCCTGGCTGCTCCACTTTCCATTCAACTCTCTGCTACGGCCTGGGAAAGCAGTAGAAAATGGCCCAAGTCCTTGGGCCCCTGCACCCCCATGAGAGACCTGGAAGAAGCTCTTGGTTCCTGGCTTTGAATCAATGCAGCTCCAGCCATTACGGCCAACTAGGGAGTGAACCAGAGGATGGAAGACCTCTCTCTCTCTGCCTCTCCTTCTTTCTGTATGTAACTGTCAAATAAATAAATCTAAAAAAAAATAAATCTTTAAAAAATGTTCATGTACAGAGACCAACACAATCATCTTTGCTGATGCTTCTTTAAGAAGATTTTGTCCCAGGGTCAGCGCTGTGGCACAGAGGTGAAGCTGCCTGCCACGAGAGCATCCCGTAAGGGTGCCAGTGAGCGTCCCGGCTGCTCCACCTCCAACCCAGCTCTCTGCTGTGGCCTGGGAAAGCAGCAGAAGATGGCCCAAGTGCTTGGGCCCCGGTACCCACATGGGAGACCCGGAAGAAGCTCCTGGTTCCGGGCTTCAGCCTGGCTCAGCCCTGGCCATTGTGGCCATCTGAGGAGTGAACCAGTGGATGGAAGACCTCTCTCTCTCTCTCTCTCTCTCTCTCTCTCTAGCTCTGACTTCCAAATAAATAAAAGATCTTTTAAAAAAAATAATAAATAAATACAAATGAAAAGATTTAGTCTTTAGACACCGACCAGTAACCATCTGTGTAACTCCTGCTGTGGGACATAAATGAAAAGACCCCAAAGGCTGCTGATCCCAGGTTCTTTAAAAAAAAGATTTATTTATTTATTTGAAAGTCAGAGTCACAGAGAGGCAGAGGGCCAATCTGAATCGATGCCCACGTGGGATGTGATGCTGCAGGTGGATGTTTAACCTACAACGCTGCAGCGCCGGCCCCATCCCAGGTTCTTAACCCCAACTTCAGGTCATGCATGGCCCCTTCCGGGACGACTCCCTCCGCCTCCACGCCTGCAAACCCTCTGGACTGATGCACAGGTCTGAGGCTCCCCCTTATCAAGCCTAAAGGCCTCTGCCCTGAGCTGCAAGTCAGAAACTGAGTGTTCAGGGACAGACAGCAAGAGAAGGAGTGACGCTGGGCTCCTCCTGCAGGAGCAGACAAACGGGCGCAGGCTTGCAGCTGACATCCAGGAGCAGACAGCGCCAGAGGCCACGGCGGGATCCCGGGATCCGCGAGTCCCGTGTCCGGAAGTAGACAGCTGTGCAGAGTGGACGCCCTGAGCCCAGACCCCGGGAACAGGAAGTGTTACCTAGGACTGGCTCCAGCTGACTTCACTGTGGGTAACCATCCACGGTCTACACCCTGCCCTTGCCTTGGATCTGGCTCTAACCCTCAATTCTGCAGGATCTCGTTAGCTAACTGTAATCGAACACTCCCTAAGCCTCCTTCTCACTAAGTCTCAAGAATGCTGGGGGCGAGGGTGGCAGAACTATAAAAACTGAGCATATAAACTAATACGTTATCAAGGAAATTTTAAAATAAGAATCCCATTGAAAAACAACATCAGCAATTAGCCTTGTGTATAAAATGGCTTGAAATAATTGCCAGAAAAAAAATCTGCAGCGCCTCCACGGAGAGCCTTTTCTTTCTCTGATCATTAGTTCTGTCAATAGGCTCAGTAAGAATCTGTCCTCCTTCCAGCAGGATTTAATTGGGTAAATCAAATCTGCAACCACCACCGTGCCAGAAATGCCACACTTGAAGACAAATCTCATTGAATTAGGCTTGACAAGCCCGAGAGAAAGCTAGTGCTTCAAATGGGGGAAGGAGGCCTCCTTGCCCCTCCAGGAAACTGGCTGGAACCCGTTCCAGGGTGTGTGGAATCCCAGGCCTTACGATCGGGGAAAAAAAAAAATACTGTCAATTCCTTTGAGTCTAGAGATGTTGACAAACGCGAGGATTCTCCAAAAGCAGGGTTGTGCTGGGTTGTGTGGGCACAGTCTGGCAGTCTGGCTGGACGGGTCTTGGTTCCAGTCCTTGATAGGGCAGCATGAATTGTTTTTCTGCTACACACACACACACACACACACACACACGATTAAAATTCTGACTCGAGGTTTTACAAAGTCTCCTGCCAGAAGTTAAGCTCTCAAGCCTTTGTATCACATGCTCTTGTTTTAAGAGCCATACAACTAGGATGATTTTTTAAATCAATCAACAACTTGTTACGCACCCCTACGCAAACAAAACTGGCCACATTCAAATAAATGATAAAAGCAGTGGCAAACTCGGAAAATTGCTGCAACAAACTTCTGTGGTCAGATCAGTGCTGCAGGTTCTTTTCTTTATTTTATTATTTATTTATTATGTATCTATGTACTTATTTTGAGATCAGCGCCTTAGGAGTCTTGGAAAGCCGCTCACTTCTCCTGAGAAGCCTAAGACACAGCAGCCCCAGGTCAGAGAGGCAGAGCAGGTGAGGCATCCTGCACCCTCGGGCGCACAGGTTCAACAGCAATGGAGGTTGGCGCCCTGGCTCATTAGGCTAATCCTCCGCCTTGCGGCGCTGGCACACCGGGTTCTAGTCCCGGTCGGGGCGCCGGATTCTGTCCTGGTTGCCCCCCTTCCAGGCCAGCTCTCTGCTGTGGCCCAGGAAGGCAGTGGAGGATGGCTCAAGTGCTTGGGCCCTGCACCCCATGGGAGACCAGGATAAGTACCTGGCTCCTGCCTTCGGATCAGCGCGATGCGCCAGCCGCAGTGCGCCAGCCGCAGCGGCCATTGGAGGGTGAACCAACGGCAAAGGAAGGCCTTTCTCTCTGTCTCTCTCTGTCTCTCTCACTGTCCACTCTGCCTGTCAAAAATAAAATTAAAAAAAAAAAAAAAAACCCAGCAATGGCGATACACACATAACTAAGCCCCCACAGCCAGCAACACAAACACCGGCCTCTCTATTAATCCCTCTGACAGACACAGCCGTGAGCTCTTTCTGGACGTGACAAACTCCACGGCGATGACTGCCTTGGCCCCGGCATCAGAGCTACCAAACCGGGGCTCCCACCCTCCGGACGGAGGAACGGTGATCTTGGGGAACCTTCGGCTCGTCTCTTGGGACACCCAGCGTGTTTTCCTTTGGGGGCCAGACTTTCTGATGTCTGTACCTCCCTCCTGAAAGCAAACGTGCACCTTTGCCTCTGCCTTTCACACACTCGTCTGGAAGCCCCCAGAGGGCAGGGGTTGTTGTCTGTTTCCTTCCTTGCTGGACCCTCGGCCCGGTCTGCAGGGGCTCTGCCACTATTTGTTCAACATGAAACGGGAACTCTGCAGAAACTGGCTGCGTTTACTGCACAAGGACTCAGCACGCCTGTCACGTGCCACACGCGGGGGAGGCAGAGATGACGGAGACCGAGCCCTTGCCTTCGAGAGCCCCAGTGTGCTGAGAAAGGGGGGCAGATAGGCAGGTAAGGACGTGACCGGGGCAGCGGTGCCATGATGGGGATGCACAGCGCCCGAGGGGAGAGGCCAGGCCCCGCCCACAGCTGGAGACACCTTGGGAGGACTTCCTGGAGAAAGCTGGGCTAAGAGATGGGAAATGGGGGAGGGTATCCCAGGTGAAGGGCACAGCAGGTGCAAGAACTGGAAGTGAGGAACTGGGTGGGAGGGGACAACAGTCAGAGGTCCAAGGAGCCACACAGCCAACGGCCTGGAATGCCAAGTAAATGGTGCCCCTCCTTGCACCCGCTCCACGTACCAGGCCCAGGCACTGAGCTGGAAGCCCCGGGCACGCCACCTACCTGGTGTGCTGCTGGAGGTGGGAGAGCTGTCGGAAGGACTTATCACAGTAGGAGCAGTGGTAGGGCTTGACGCCCAGGTGGATGCGCAGGTGCTGGGCCAGGTAGGAGGCGTTGGCAAAGGACTTGGAGCAGTGCGGGCACTTGTGGGGCTTGGCCTCTGTGTGCGACTTGGAGTGGATCTGCATCTCAGACTTGGTGAAAAAGGTCAGCGGGCAAACCTTACACCTGTCGGGGAAGAGGCAGGTTCACACCTGGGAAGATCCCCGCCCCCCAGCTCCCCACCCGTACATCTACCCAGGGCAGATCTGGCCAGTGAGGAGGTCGGGGGACACAGACCCACCTGGCAGGGACAGGGGGCGGCCGCCAACCTGGGCATTTGCTGCCCTGGAGTAGGATGTGCTTACATCTCGGGGTGGGGGACCTGTGTAGCAGCCGGGGGAGCAGTGCTGCACCTCACGGGAAGACGGGAGGCCTGAGCCTGGCCAGGGCCACAGCCTGGAGGTCCCAGCGCTCCAAGTGGCTCTCAAACCTGGCTGCACCACAGAATCACCTGCGGCACCCCGGCCTCCAACAGTAACTCCGGACTTGCTGGAGGGGCAGCCATGGCACTGGCATTCTGGGAGAGCTCCTAGAGCAGGCCACTGCTTAAGGAGAGGAGGGGCGGGGCCTTGGGTGTGGGCGGGGCTGGCCGGGAGCCTCGCCCCTCTGGGTCCCCTCTTATCCAGCCCCCGGGGTGTGATGCTCGGTCCACCAAGACCCCCACCTGTACGTCTTGCCCTCCTTTGCAGTCTCGCCCGAGGCCAGGATGGGGTAGGGGACGACGAGGACCGGCGGGCCACCTGGGTTCTCCGCCTTGATCTTTTTGCGGCCACGCTCAGACTTGGGGGGGCCGAGCAGGCCGTGGCCCTGGATTGTCTTGATGGAGTCCAGGAGGGGGGGGCTGGTGATCCCTGAGATGAGGGTGGGGGACGAGGCGATGAGGCGGCTCTGGCTGGTGGTGGTGGGCGTGGACGGGGTGCTGGTGCCCGTGCCGGTGCCCGTGCCGGTGCCCGTGCTCGACTCGGACGTGCTCACAGCCGGAGTCCGGGAGGACAGCCCCAGACCTGCAAAGAAGACACGAGGGCTGGGCCCGGGGCTGCAGGGCCTCCGGGACCCCGGGGTCCCCCACCTGGCTGAGCCTCCCCTTCCCACAATGCTGTGGATGCCTGAAGACCAGGCTGCCCTGGAAATCCCAGAAGACTGGGTGCAGCAGGCTCACTGCCAGGACGCACTGAGACAGGCACCTGGGTGCAGGGCGCAGCAGCAGTCACCCGAGTCCTCTGACCAACTGCCCCCCAAAACGACACTATGTTTTTTTTTTGTTTTTTTGTTTTTTTGTTTTTTTATTTTTTTATTTTTGACAGGCAGAGTGGACAGTGAGAGAGAGAGACAGAGAGACAGAGAGAAAGGTCTTCCTTTGCCGTTGGTTCACCCTCCAATGGCCGCCGCGGCTGGCGCGCTGCGGCCGGCGCACCGCGCTGATCCGATGGCAGGAGCCAGGAGCCAGGTGCTTATCCTGGTCTCCCATGGGGTGCAGGGCCCAAGCACCTGGGCCATCCTCCACTGCACTCCCTGGCCACAGCAGAGGGCTGGCTTGGAAGAGGGACAACCGGGACAGAATCCGGCGCCCCGACCGGGACTAGAACCCGGTGTGCCGGCGCCGCTAGGCGGAGGATTAGCCTAGTGAGCCGCGGCGCCGGCCCCAAAACGACACTATGTTTTAAACTCTGCATGTGCAGGGACAGAAAGATCAGCAGGCGAAGCTGTACCCAAACGAGACACAGATGGTAGAATTAGCAGTAATTTAAAAAAACTATTAACTTGGGGCCTGTAGTGCCAGCATTTCATATGGGCACCTGTTCAAGTCCCAGCTGCTCCACTTCCGTTCCAGCTCCCTACTGATCCCCTGGGAAAGCAGTAGAAGATGAAGGCCCAAGTGCTTGGGCCCCTGCACTCACATGAGAGACCCAGAAGAAGCTCCTGGTTCCTGGCTTCTCTCCCAGCCCCAGCTGTTATGGCCATTTGGGGAGTGAACCAGCGGATGAAAGACTTTCTCTCTCTCTCTCTCTCTCTCTCTCTCTCTCTCTCTTTCCCTCCCTCCCTCCTTTTCCCTCTCTTCTTCTCTCTGGCTGTAACTCTACCTCTCAAAAAATAAATAAATCTTTTTTTTAAAAAAGGACTTAACTGCATCCTCTGATTCTTTTAACAGTGAACTGTTTTTTTAAACTTCTGTAATTATTCTTTTAAAACTGAGGGGCCTAGAAATAGTCATATTGTTAAGTAGACAAAAGGTCAAAAACTAGATCTATCATGAGATTTGAATTCCTTTTCTGAAAAATCAATAATTTGTGTGTGGGAAAGGGACTCCCGGGTGGCGAGTTCTGCTCGCTTTCACACGGGGTGGGGCACAGGCATGGGGTGTGGCCCTCGGCAGGCAGCGGAAGACACAACTTTTGAGCAAGCAGTTCTATTTCTAGAAATCTACCTTAAAGGCATATTTGCATAGGAGCCCAAAGATCTGTGTGCACGGGGCCTGTCCTGTGCAACTGTGAGCAGCCCAGACGAGACACAGCCTGCTTGTCCCCAGCCCGGCCCGAGGAAGTGCACACAGAGGACTGCTCAGCCCCGGAAACCACACAGCTACAGAGCAGGGACACAGCCCGACCGCCAACACGGGCCGCCCGTGGCAAAGGGAAGCTCAGATTTGCATCCGTCTATTTTAAAAAAAACACACAGTAAAACCACATCCATCTGTGTGGACGACACATGTGTGAGTGTGTGTGCGCGTGTGCGCACGTGTGTAGGGGAATCGACACAGCCAGCAGCTAACTGGGGATCTCTCCAGCACGGGAGAAGAATTTCGGGGAAACAGGAGACTGTCAGACTCTGTCTATCTGCTTCTATATTATTTGAATCTTTTACCTGGTGAATTCATCCATCTCTTACATCTGTGATTAAAGAATAAAATAAAATAAATTTTAGAGATAACATATGAAAACTTGTCTGCGATCTACGCTTTCCATAGTAACTATGCATTACCTTCATAACAGAAAGTGCGATAAATGTGTTTATGATAAAGTGGCCGTAAGACCAGCTCAGCAAAACACACGCGCAGATGAAAATAAAAAAAAAACAAGCCCGGATATGAAAAAGGAAGGAAATGGACCAAACGGCTCTCTAAGCTTCTGGGTTTAGGAGCTGGAGATTATGAGTGGTTATTTTTTTCTTTAGTTTCTCTTTTTTTCCAAATTTCCCTTAATATGCTTATATTACTTTTTTAATATTACTTTCATAATGAAAAAAACAAGTTTAATGAAATCATAATAACAGGAGATGTGTACAGTGCGGCTGGGGCCCATATGAGGATCACCAGACCCCTAGAATTCTTGGGTATCTCCAAGGAAAGGAGGGGGGAGAGAGAGAGGGAGGGGGAGGGGAGGGAGAGGGGAAGAGAGAAGGAAAGGAGTAGGGGGAGGGGAGAGGGCGAGGGAGAGGGAGAGGGTGACGGCGAGGGAGAGGGAGAGGGAGAGGGAGAGGGAGAGGGCCCGGCTGGTGGCAGGGGCAAGCCAGGCCAGGAACACAGGTCCTGCTGCAGTGACCCTCTGCAGAAGGCTTCCCACCAGGCTTTCCAGAGGCCACTGGGGGGTCCAAGCCCTCGACACTGACCCACGATGTCCCCTTCAGTGGATAAAGTCCACTGAAAAGGCCGGATGGAGTTCCTGGCTTCTGGCATCAGCGTGGCCCAGACCTGGCTTTTGCAGCCACTGGAGGAGTGAACCAGCAGATGGAAGATTTCTCTTTCTCTCTCTCTCCCTCCCTCTCTCTATCGCTCTTTCAAATAAATAACTCCTTTAATAATCCATTGTGTACCGCAATACTAACAGCACCCAACTCACAGGGCAGCAGAGGGCAGAAAACTGAATACTGGCAAACACATGGGTGCTCAACAGGTGGGGAGGACTTTAGCGGCAGCATCACATTGTCTTCCCCAGGCACAGAGGCTCCTGCGCCCAAGCTCTCTCCGCCCGCATCCCCTTCAAAGCCACATCTTCTCTTCGGCTGCGTTGTCGGGGGTCGCGGATAACCCCTCCCTGCATTTCAGTTCCTCCAGCAAAGTCTCCCCTCACTTACTACACCGGCCAGGGTCTTCTCTGTTGCCTTGGCTTTCCCAGTGAGCCTCTGGCCCCAGCTGGGCCACTGGGGGAAGGCAGTCCTCCCAGGACAGGGTGGGGGTCAGTATGGGGGCTGTGGCTGGCCCATCAACCTGGCCTCTCCAAGGTTCTACCTCCACCACCACCCCCCTCCCCAGCGCTGTCTGTCCCACCCTCTGTTCACCCGTTGCGCTCCACCCAGGTCCACCCACTGCACCTGTGACCGTGCTGGTGGCTGGCCGCGCGTGCAACGCCACGTCAGGCTGTGGCACGGCCTGCGGGTGCAGCCCTGGCACCTGCTGCAACTTGGGCAGTGACATCACGGCCTGGCTGCTCTCGGCGGGCGCCGGCGGCACGAGCAGTGGCTGCTGTGACGAGGCTGATGTGGGTGGCAGGTGAGGCGGCCGGATCTTCTCGGCCATCAGCTGCTCCTTGATCTTGTTAATCAGGACCAGGTTGTCCAGCTGTGGGTGGGAGCCGAGAGGGGCTGAGGGGGGCTAGGGGCACGCCCTGCCCCTCTCCCAGCCCCCTGCCGCCAGACCCCACCAGCCCCCTGCCGCCAGATCCCGGCGGCGCCCTGGACCGAGAAGATCCGGCACAGCTAAAATGCCGGGCACAGCCTCAGCGTCTGACTTGAGCTTACCTGGCTGGGCATGGTGGGAGGAGGGGGCCAGAAGTAGGGGTTGTTAAATCGAGGCTCGGCCATCCTGCGGAGGGGAGAGAGCAACCGTCAGCTACGCCCACCAAGCCGGGGCTAGTGTCTACCATCCCTGTGCCCATGGGATCCTCAGCCCCCAAACAGGGCAGCCTGGGGAACCACACCTCCAGGCTGCCTTCTCCCTCAGGGGGCACAGGTCACGTGCAGACCTCAGCACCCACCCAGAGCCCCCTCCCTGCACCCTGCTGCAGGGCCCCCAGGCTGCAGAGCCAACCCCACAGACCCATCCGCAGACGGGGGTGGGGCGGTAAATGGCCCCAGAGCACCTGCCCCCCACCCTCCCCACCCACTTGGGCACATGTGCTCCTCAGGACACGGGGCAGTTGGGCAAGACCCGGGGCTTCTTGCTCCATGACCCAAACCACACTGCTGGAAAGCTGGCCACAGGAAACAGGCACAGCCCCGGGTGGCGCTTGATCCCTGGGGATGTGCACTGTGGAGGGCTCTGGGGCTGAGGCTAGGGGGGTCTGGGGCTCCTGCCTACGAGTGTGCCACAGTGGACATGTGTGTGGCCGCCCTCACCTGTGGCGAGTCTGTGGCAGGCCTGTGCGGTTAGAAGGCCTTTTTTATTCAACCAGGGCAGGGTGAAGGGGGGGGGGGGCTAGCTTGTCTTCCAGAGGACCCGAGTCTTCCCGTGACGCAGAGTAGGTCAAGCAGGAACCTTACAGGGCCCCTGCTGCACAGGGGTGGGTCCCAGTCACTCCTGCTCCTACCAAGGCTCTCATAAGACCGACCGGCCTAACTGGGACTGCGGCTTGAATGAAGCTGTTTGAGAGGCAAAACCAGAACCAAGTGCCTTCAGCCTCTTTTCCTGGCCCCGGAGGTGGGAAGCCTGCTGCAACTGCGGGAGAAAGCCCTCACTAGGGATACAATCTCATCTCTAGCTCTAAGAAACTCCCATGCCAATTCTCTCCTCTGATTGTTCCTCGAAAAGCAAGCGCAAGAGGTACTGCCAGCCCCCTGTGGAGGCGAAGGCACTGAGGCTCTGCAGAGAGAGGAAGGAAGAGACCTGCCCAAGACCACTGCCGGGGAGCCAGCCTACCAATCAGACTTGCTTGAGCCCTGGGGAATTTGCTTTGCAAACCCTAGTCCTTGGGAGAGCAAATATCCACAGGCCAACAGCTCAGTATCTATATGCAAAAGTCCTCACCTCTCACCCCCAGCCTGGGAGCCAGTGTTCTGAGCCTGACCAGGCTGGGGCTCAAACACCCTCCTCCAGTAGGCTGTGGCAGGCACAAGATGGCCTTCTCTCTGCCCGCCCAAACCGCACGCAGCCCCGCACAGGAAGCACTTCCTGCCTGGAGCTCTCCCTGACTGCTCCCGATCCCTGGGGCTGGAGGAGGCTGCGCATGAGCGAACACCTGCCTTGTGCCAGGCACACGGACACTGAAAGACAGGTGCTCTCAGCCCCATTTACAACACAGGAAATGGAAGTTCAGAGAGGTGAAGTGACTTGCTCAAGATCACACAGCAAAGAAGCAGGGAGCTGAGGTTCCCAGTAGAATCGACCAGATTCCAGCTCATCAGTCCCTTAGCTGTTCAGGGAAGGACAAAGCATCCTGACTGCAGGCTTAGGAATAAGCCCTGCCCAGGGTGGCCTGGCTGCAAGCCCAGGGGTGCACCTGCTCGGCCAGCAGGCTCGGTAGCTGCCTCAGCCCTGCCACTGTCCACAGTGGGGTGGGGAGTAGGGGGCGGAACAGAGCTCTAAGGCCAGGTAGGGGGGCCCCTCCAAGGCTTGGGGGGACAGGGAGCTGGGGAGCTTCCCTGAGGGAGCCTGGGAGTTGGCTGCAGCTGTCTTGTTCACCTGGGCCTCCCCAGCACCCAGGCCAGAGGCTAGGAGTGCGGTGAGTTGTATGACGGAATGGAGGATACAGCGATAATTTAAGGACAGGTCATCACAGTTCTCTGGTTCAGCTTGGTTTACGGAGCACTTCTGTGCCCCCCGGCATTGTCATCGGAGCCGGTAAGCAAGGAAGAATGCTCAACCCCACTGTCCAGAGGGACAGACCCAGGCTCCAGGACAGGGGCACCTTGCTCCAGGTCACACAGCAGGAGACAGGGGGCAGCACTGTGCTCTGAGGTCCCGTGTCGGCTCTCTAAGCCTCAGTTTTCCTCATCTGCAGAGTGGGGTGAAACAGGCTGCCCCACTTCATTCCTAGCCCAGGATTCCACCCGCTGTGCTGGGCTACTTCTCAGACAATTCTGGGGGAGCCATCCTCTCCTCTTCCTCCCCCCTACAGTTCATTGCCAAGTTCACACTTCTCAGAACCTCCACCCTGGTCAGGGAGCTGGTGGGGGAGGGGGTGACTTTCCCAGGGTGGCCACACTAGGAGCACCCTCTCTGTCACTTATCAGGCCCCTGGTCAGGCAGGGGGACCAGGCCCGCAGAGGGGAGGGGTCTGCCGTGGACCACAGCCTCTGTTTCTCTGCGTCCTTGTCTGGCTGCTGCTGAGTAACTTGATGATGTCACCGATGACCCTGGCTCCTGTGTTCGACTGTGCACCAGTAGCAGGGAAGCCGGGGTGGGGGCTGGCCATTTGCTGGGTTCTCACTGAGCAGCTGACAACAGGGCAAGGTGCTCACCACCAGTCTCGGGGAGCCCCTAGCCTGCAACCCTGGGTGGGTCTCGGGCAGAGGTGGGGAGGAAGGGGGCCAGGGCCAGGCCATGCTACTTAGACCTGTTTCCTAGCGAGGGTGGGAAGCGGCAGAGGGGCGTGGTCAGATGTAGATTGAGGATGGATGGACAAGGCAGATGGGCACGCCAGGCACAGGGGCAGCTTGGGCACGGGCAGGGGGAGCGGCTACCCTCAGACAGCAGGGAGGGGTGGAGAGCGGGCAGGTGGGGACGGACAAAGAGGCCACCCGGCAGGGCCTTGAAGGCAGAGCTGAGCAGGGAGGAGGCACCGGGGAGCAGTGAAGCAGCGGGGACCAAGAGGCCCCAGAGAAGCCAGGGGAGGGGAGATGGAGGAGCCAGGCTGGTGGGGATTGATTCCCTGGGCTCAGAGAGGCAGGGAAGACACACAGCACAGGCACACTGTGTGCCAGACATCAGCCAAGGCTCTGCCGTGACCCCGCAACCCAGGCTGACCCCTGCCGGGCTCGAGGGGAACAGCGGTCACTTGTTCTGCTTGTTCTAAAAGCGAATTGAGCTAGGTGGCGGGTGAGGGCAGCCCCTGCTGGCAGCTGCTCCTCTGTCCTGCTGCCCCCCCCACACACACTCTGGGCCAAACCGGCGCCTGGTGGCCGGCGGAAAGCAGCCTGCACCCTGGAGCCCTGGTAAAGCAGAGGAGGAGGCCCAGCTTCCGCAGAAGGGAGGGCCGGCCTGAGACCTCCGCCGCCCCCCAGTGACCGCCACGCCCTCCGCACAGCCCATGGACCACCCGCCACTCCCGTCCTCCATGCCCCCTCACCCAGGCCCTGGGGGAAGACCCCCCACGCAGAGACTGCAGGTCCCACACCTTCTCAGTCTCCTTCCCAGCTTCCCACCGCCTACCCACACGGGGGGCGGGGCAGGAGTCCCTAGTGTCACCCCCCCAGCACCTTAACCAGCCGGGGGCCTCCCAGGAGCCCCCAGCTCGCTCTCCAGCTGCATTCCTGACACCTGCCTCCGTGTCTCATGGCTGCACCTCCCCTGGCCACTGCCAGCTCCGAGTGGGACTTCCCCACTGCCCAGACGAACTGACCCACAACACCACGCCTCCCGCCTCAGCCCACACCCCCCGACTAAGCCCGCGGTTCCAGGATCACCCCCAGACCCAGCCACCCCACTCCACTCCCTGCACCAGCCCTGGGCCCAGGGAACAGCCCGCTGTGTGTGCAGCCCGAGTTCAGACTGGGCCCCGGCTCACCTGCCATGTGGTCTCAGGCAAGTCACATCCCCCTGCCCCTTGGAGAAGCAGCCCAGGGCCCTGACTCACCAGGAGGACTTCCCAGGGGAGGTGAGGCCTGCCTTGGGTCTTAAAGGATGAGTGGGAGTCAGCAAAGGAGGAATGGGGGGGCAAGCCTGAGGAGAGGGGGAGCAAGAGCTTACACGAAGGCCCCGGGGGAGAGGCGCACGCAGGGTGAGCTGCGAGCCTGCCAGGCTTCCCCGGGAGCTGGGAGGCGAGGCTGGAGCCGGGGGGCTGACCCTGCTTCTTAGGCAGGACCCCGAGTGCTGGGCGCAGAAGGGACTGGAGAGGCCGGCGAGGAGGCCCCTGAGGGCTGCAGGTGAGAGGCAGGGGCTGTCCCCGGGCCCCAGGGGGGCCATGCCCAGAGGTTAGGGCTAGAGGCCAAGGCAGCCCCACCCCCACCTCAGCCCCCGCAGTGTGGCCCGTATGCGCTGGTTCAGATGCAGACAAACACTACCACAGGAACATGCAGACAGACAGCACCAGACAGAGACACGGACGGGAGACGCGGCAGCCGCCGGGGGCAGGAGGCTGCGGACCCCAGGGCGGCAGCGAGGGCACTCCGGGCCGTCCCCAAAGCACGAACCCCTCGATGACAGGTGCAAGCTGGGATCGCAGGCTCCTTACCTAGAGTGTGCTTTCCCACTTGGTGAACTTCTACTCATCCTTCAAGACCCAGTGTTCCCTCTTCTACGGAGCCTTCCCCGACCCCCAGCCAGTCACTTCCTGTGTGTTCCCAACAGCACCTTGTACATGGGAATAACAATAACAACAATAAGTGGCAGCTACCATCGACTCCGATACCTATGTGCTGAGTGTGTCAGCAGCCAGGTCCCGGATCTGCCCAGGGACTCGAGGTGTGCGTTTCACAGCAGACACGGGGGCTCAGAGAGGTTGACCCACAAGTGAGAGCCACACAGCCAGGACATAACAGAGTTAGAAAGCTAGAACACCCGCCCCACCCCGCCCCCTCAGATCTGATCCAGCACCACACACAAAGCCAACCACACTCCAGGCTGGGAGCACGTCTCCCTGGGCGTCTCTCCCTTAGCCTGCCGGCTCTTCACGGGCAGGGTCCCACTTGCCCAGCGGTGGGCTTCACTTGTCACCTGTGCCAGCCTCTGGCCCAAGGTGGTCACCCATAACTGGCCAGAAACTCTGTTGGGATAGTTCACAGCCATTAATTTACTGTTACTATAGACCCATTGTACAGATGGAGAAACTGAGGTCCAGAATGGTTAAGCAACTTGCCTGAGTTCACAGAGTTGAGTCTGGGTTTGAAACCAAATCTGTCCATCACCTGTTCCTGAGAGGGCAGCCTCTGAGGCCAGCCCAGGAAGTTCTGCTAAAGTGGCCCTGGGGGAGGTGGAACCAAGGGAGGGGCACACCAGATGCCAGGCCCTGCCACCTGGGGGACTTTCAGCCCTGGACAGATGGACACAAAGAGGACCGGCAGCCCAGGATGGCCTGTGCTGTGCTCTGCCCCTGTGACACACAGTCCTGCCCCCGCACCCCCAGCCTATCCCGCAGACTTGCCCAGACCCCCTTGGCCACATGGGAACCAGCTCCCGACCACGCGAGTGGGAAAGAGCAGGACCCAAAATTTCCCGGACACTATGATTACCAGGAGGCAAAAATAAAAACGTGCGTCAGCAAAGGAAAGCCGCATGCAGCCACGCCCGGAGGGAGGCGCGGGCCCTTCTGTTTCTTGTCTTTGTTTCTCCGATTTCCAAACTCAGTAATGTCATTCGGTTGCTTTTATAATGAAAACAATAAATTTATTCCTAAAAGAAAAATCAAAGAAAGTGGCTGGAAGCCCAAGGTGGGGGCACAGATGGAAGGGGAAGGGCAGGGTCAGCTGGCGGTGGGCACCCACGCCAGGCCCTGCAGAGCGCCTGTCCTCAAGGCACAAGTGAGCTGTCAGGAAGGCTGCCTGGAAGAGGTGGCATGCAATTAGCCCTCGAAGTTCCATGGGATTGCATGGCACGAGTGGGTACCCTGCCACCTCTCCTGCCCCGGTCTCCAGCTCTGGCCAAGAGCCCCCTCCCTGGCTGCCCCACCTGCACCCTGGCTACCATCACCCACCACAGCCTCCTGCTGCAGCCCCGCCCCCCAGGGCTGCCCTCCCTGCCTCTCTGCCTGCTCCACCATACCATGGCCGGCTGAGTCAGACCCATGGCTCCCTGTACCCTGAGGCTCCACTCCCCTTCTCGCACCTCACACCCAGCCAGGCTGCATCCTCTCCCTGGTGCCTCTGCCCTCCTTCCTCACTGCCTCCTGGAAGCCTTCGGGGACTGCTCCAGCTCCACCCGGGGCTATGCGGGCTGCCTCTCCTCTCTGCCCTTCTATACCCTGCATTTTCATCATCAGGGCCCTGTTACTCCATTGTCATCCTTTCTACATTTTATTTATTTATTATATGTGAAAGGAGGAAGGAGGGAGGGAGGGAGGGAGGGAGGGAGGGAGGGAGGGGCTCCCATCCACTGGGTCACTCCCCGGATGCCTGCGGCAGCCGGCACTGGAGCCATCAGCTGCTGCCCCAGGAAGCTGGCACTGTGCGAGGAGCTGGGACTGGGACCCAGGCACCATGGTGTCTCTGTTCTCATCCATCTCTGCGGCTGGACACACAGTCAGGGAGGCATCATGGCTGGGTCGGTCACTTCTGAATCTCTGCACAGCCTCTGCTAGACGCTTGAACGAATGAATGAATGAATGAATGAGTGCTTAGGTGGAGGGAAGTCACTGACAGGGTCCCTGGACAGAAAAAGGCCTCCGTCCACTCCTGAGCCAGCCCCCGGGTTCCCGGATCTCCGCCCTGCTTCCCTAACTGCTCTGAGAAGGGGTGACCCCAGAAGGGATGCCAGCAGCTGACACGCCAGCAAGGGGTCCCGCCTGCCTGGCAGGGAGCAGCAGGTGAGGCTCACCTGTCAGAAGAGCAGAGAAAGCAGAAAGTGCCGACAGCCAGCACTGGGGCGGGCAGGGGGACCTGGCCCCCGCGGCTGAGCTGGCGCAGTCACTTCCGAAAACAACCTGGCAACAAGGTGTCAAGAGCTCTAAAAAGGTTCAGATTCCCTGGCCCAGTGATCCTGTTCTTGGTCACCCATCCCGAAAAAAATGACCTGCAGGGCTGGCACTGTGGCGTAGCGGGTTAGGCCATCACCTACAATGCTGCCATCCACACGGGCACGGGTTCAAGTCCAGGCTGCTCTACTTCCGATCCAGCTCCCTGTTAATAGCCTGGGAAAGCAGCAGAGGACGGCCCAAATGCTTGGGCCCCTGCACCTGTGTGGGAGGCCTGGATAAAGTTCCTGGCTCCTGCTTTGGCTGGCCCAGCCCTGACCATTGAGGCCATTTGGGGGAGAGAACCAGCAGATGGAAGATCTCTCTCTCTCTCTCTCTCTGTCTCTCCCTCTCTTTCTGTAACTCTGCCTTTCAAATGAATAAAAACAAATCCTTAAAAAAATGACCTGCAGACAAAGTTATACGCTCAAAGCTGTTTCCTTCAGTGGTGTTTTATGATAGCCAAAACCTAGAAAAGACAAAAACTTGAAACACGGGGGGAGATGGCTCTGGCAAGCTCGCTACCCAGTAACACAGTGTATGGGCATCCAGGCATCAGAGCCCCTGCTCCTGGCATTGGCCGGACTCAGGTGACAACGCGCCACCCCTCAGGAACTGAGGCCCAGAGAGATGAGGTCTCGTGACCCAGGTCTTGCAGGAAGCGCAGGACCTGAATCCACACCCCCAGCTCTGGACCCGGCCCTCTTCCCTGAGGCTGGGTCCCCAGGGTAGATCAAAAGCACCCCCACAAGACCGAGCCAGGGGACGGGCCATCTCGCTGCCCTTCAAATAACACGAAAATAAAAAATCCGGGTGAGGGTTCGGTGTGGTGGCCTAGCAGGTTAAATCTCTGCCTGTGACATCAGCACGCATATGGGCACCGGTTCAACACCCATCTGCTCCACTTCCACTCAAGCTCCTTGCTAGTGCACCTGGGAAGGCAGTGGCAGACGGTCCAAGTGCTTGGGCCCCTGCGCCCACATAGAAGGCCCGGAGGCCCCAGACTCCTGGCTTCAGCAGAGATTGCTTGTGGCTGTTTGGAGAATGAACCAGCGGATGGAAGACCTCTCTCTCTCTTTCTCTTTTTCTCTCTCTCTCCTCCTCTTCTGTAACTCTGCCTTTCAAAAAAAAAAAAAAAAAAAACACATCTTAAGAAAAAAATCTGAACAAAACAGCCCCCTACAGTCATGATAAAACAGTCAGAGAAGAAATTTTAAAAATTAAGAGACAGAAAGAAAGCAACATGGTTATAAAAAATGCCATGGGAAGAAGACACCAAATGCTGGCAGTGCTGGTATTCTGGGCTTGGGGCAGATGCAAAGATGGGACTGGATTTTTATTTATTTATTTGAGAGGCAGAGTTACAGACAGAGAGGGAGACAGGGAGGTCTTCCATCTGCTGGTTCACTCCTCAAATGGCTGTAACGGCCAGAGCTGGGCTGATCCAAAGCCAGGAACCTGGAGCTTCTTCTGGGTCTCCCACGTGGGTGCAGGAGCCCAAGCACTGGGCCATCCCCCGCTGCTTTCTAGGCCATCAGTAGAGAGCTGGATGGGAAGAGGAGCAGCTGGGACCTGGGACAGGAGCCGGAGCCCATATGGGATGCCGGCACTGCAGGCAGAGGCTTAGCCTACTGTGCCACAGCTCCACCCCCGGTTATGTGACTTCTTAAGGGAATATTGTTATAAAACTCAAAGTGCACAGGGCAGGCCTTTGGTGCAGGGGTTAAGGCGCCAGGTCGGGATGCCCTCAGCTGACACAGGAGTGCCTGGGTGAGTCCCGGCTCTGCTCTCGGTTCCAGCTTCCCGCTAATGCGCACCCCGGGACACAGTCAGTGATGGCTCAAGGCCTTGGCCAGGTCCCTGCCACCCATGCAGGAGTCGTGGTTTGGGTTCCCCGGCCCTGGCTTTGGTTTGGCTAGCCATTGCGGACATTAGGGAGTGAAGCAGCAGACATGAGTGTCTGTCTGTCTCTGCCTCTCACACGAATACATAAAGCTTGAGCAAGCTTTGGCAAGGCAAGAGGCCCCAGTTCCCCAGCCAGGGCCGGACTGAGGAGTCTGCACTGGGAGCTGCATGTCTGCTGCGGAGAGAGGAGCTCGGGCAGGGGCGGGGCTTGCTCACAGTCCCACAGCTCTGACCCCGGCAAGGACAGCTCTGACCCGCCGCAGGGGACAGAGGCCCCAGCAGGACTCCCCATCCCATTGCAGGGCCCTGGTGGGGAGGCGCAGGCCCTGTCACTCCTTCTCCCACTTAAAATCCCTCTTGGGTTCTCATCACTTTGGGGCAGAGCTCTAACCCACAGCCGGGCCGCAGGGGCTACTCTGAGAACCAGCAGTCCTACCAGCCCCATTCACCCGGCTCGCCCAGCACACCCATCCCTCCAGCGCCTGCAGGGCCCCCAGGACGAGGAGCGCTCAGCACACGGCCTTTGCACAGGCCGAGACCTCCCATCAGTTCAGCTCAGGGAACGGGCATTTGGGGCAGCGGTCAGACACTGCCAGGGCCACCCAAGACCCACACTGGGGGGCCTGGGTTCAAGTGCTGGCTCTGCTTCCAATTCCAGCTTCCTGCTGGTGCACACGTTTGGGGGGCAGTAGGGAAGCCTCAATTGCTTGGGTCCCTGCCACCCTTGTGGGAGACCCTGACGGAGCTCCTGGCTCCTGCCTTTGACCTGGCCCAGGCCTCGCTGTTGCAGGCATCTGGGGAGTGAAACAGCAGACGGAAATCTCTCAATCTCTCTCTGCCTTTCAGATAAACCGAAAATCAAATAAACACAATTCTTAAGTACAAGCTCAGCTCAGGCGCCATTGTCTCGAGTGAACGGCCCGGCGACCTGCCCCACACGTCAGCACACACTCCCCCAAGGCAGGGCTGCGACCCCACACCTCACTCGGCTCCTGCTTCTGCTCTCAGCGTGGGGGTCACTGTCTCACCTCGCCCTGACAGAACTGGGCCCCCCATTCTACACTCCTACGCCCCCCACATTCTCCCATTGCCTCCTGTGTGTCACACCTCTAAGCATTCCTCCAGGCCCAGCTCCCATCAGCTGTGAGCCAGCCCCAGAGCCGAGCACAGGCCACACGACGACAGGTGCCCGTCTGCCTGATGCACCCTCCATGCTCCATAAATGTTCCCTGAACCAGGGCGAGGCGGGCTCTTCCCTGCAGGCCTCGGAGGGGAAGAAGCTTACCAGGACAGCAAGGGGGTGGGGAAAGAGCATTCCCAGCGAGGGGCAGCACGTGCAAAAGCAAGGAAAACTGCTAGCCTCCCAGGAAAGCACGCGAAAAGGCCCAGAGGCAAGACAGCACACGGCAAGGCGTTTGTTCCGGTGCGGGTACAGTGCAGGAACTCACAAGGGAACCGGCCCGGGTTGCAGGCTACAGTGCTTGACAAAAGTTCAGGGGGGGGTCATGGGCTGTCCCTGAGCTGGGGAAGGCTGCTGTGGTCCAAGTTTCCAAGGGACATGTCCTTAAGGGGCCGGAAGGAAGCCACCAGCAGGAGACGATTTAAGAGGGAGAAGCCGAGGTCTCCCATTCTCCCCGCTCCTTGAGATGCCCATGTGCTCGGGGGCTGCCTGCCACGGCCCCTCTGCCCTCCACACGCCCCCACCCTCCACACGCCCCCACCCTGCGCAGCCTGGAGCCCCGGGCCCCCCTGCTGTGCCCCACCCGGACAGCAAGTCTCAGGTCGCTCATGGGAACTTCCTTGAGGAGTGAGGCTCCCAAGGGCCCTGCATCCAATTAGGCTGGGACTCCGAAGCCCCGCGGGGCTGGGAAGGGTTGTTGTCGCTGTGGTGACGGTGGCAGATCCCAGCCAGCCAGAGGGCAAGGGGAGCTGGGAGGCCGCCCTTGGCCCTCGGGGGCTCCCACTCCCCGCTCCCCTCACCCTCTGGGCTCCCTACCCCCGCTCCAGCAACCAGGGCACCCGCTTGGGGAGCCTGGCGCCCTCATCTCGGGAGTGCGCCCACAGAAGGCTCTGCGGGCAGGGAGCACAGGCCCTTCTCTGGCTCCCAGGGAGATGCCCCTACCGGCCTGCCAGGCAGAGGCTGGGGACACCACACACATTCAGAAAGGGGCCCCGGGGGGCTGTGACAAAGCACCTGGCACTGCTAGTTAAGCTACAGCCACAGGAGCACTGCTGCTCCGCTTCCCATCCAGCTCTCTGCTTACGCGCCTGGGAGGGAGCAGACCAGGGCCCAAGTCCCTCACCCCTGCCACCAGGTGGGCGACCCAGAGTTCCGGGCTCCTGGCTTCAGCCTGGCCCAGCCCCAGCCATTGGGACCATCTGGGGAGTAAAACAGCAGGTCAAGCTCTGTCTCTCTGTCACTCTGCCTTTCAAAGAAACAAGT